ACGACAGTTACCATCCAGGAGCAGAGATCAGGAGGGGCGGGCGGGGCCGGGAGCGGGCGCCTTCTGGGAAACGGGGCGCTGCTCCCAGGAGGCTTCTCAAACACACGCCTGCCTTCGCCCAGGCTCCTCCGCAAGAGACATGCCTTCGGATGTGTTTTGAAAAATATTCCATATGCTAATGGAATGTCACCATCTGCCAAAGAAGGCAGAGCTGTTTTTAAAGGAAAAACCAGTGCAGAGCCGAGGTATTCACAGAGCGGCACTAAAGAGCAAAGCCCCAACGTCTGACCCCAGCCTGACCCTGGCCGCCTCCCGTTACCAACATGAAAAGGGAGTGAGAAAATCTGAGGCCAATTACCTTCTCTCTCTCTCTCTCTCTCTCTCTCTCTCTCTCTCTCTCTCTCTCTCTCTCTCTCTCTCTCTCTCTCTCTCTCTCCACATACACCACCCCCCCGCCCCCCCCCCGCACCCGGCCCCATTTCCCCTCCCCTTCTTGGAGACATGATGAAATTTCCTGAAACAAAAACTCACAGCCCATTCTATAAAATGCTTTCGCCTTTGGTGGGAAAAGCCCCGATGGTCCCTTTTATCTCCTCATTCCTGAGGCGCAGACCTGGCCCCGGTCTGTTTGTGCAGGCGGGCTGCGGAGAGCGCGCCCAAGGCCGGAGGGGCAGGGGCGGCGGCAGCGGCGGCGGCGAGGGGGGTGCGGCGCTGACCGGGAAGGGCCGTGGGAGCGGGCGAGGTGGCCTGCGGCCTCCGATGAGTGGACCAGCATTGTTCCCCAGGAGGCCCCCGCAGCCGGGGGGGGGGGGGAGGGGGGGAGGGCTGGGGGGCAAGTGTTTGGAAAGAGCGGTTTTCCAGGTCCCAAAGCGCCACCCGGGTCCGCCAAGACCACGGGGTTATCACGTTCCTACCTTTCCAGCCGCTGGGCCACCACCTCCGTCGCGGGCTGTCGTCCTGTGCCCCCTTCCCAAATGCGGTCGATGTCCTCCTGGCCGCAGTGTCAGGCCCTGTCGGCACCCCGGGCTCTCTCTCTGGCACCTGCAACTGTCCGAATCCAGTGCGTCACCGGCCACCGCCTCAACCCGCCCTCCTTCTCTTACCGGGGGTCCACACGTGCCCCAGCCACTCTGGTCCAGGGCCTTCCCACCTCAAGGCCTTTGGGCCTCCCTGGCCTCTGCCTGGAACTGTCCGGCTGGCTCCTGCTTGTCCTTGATGCCTTGGCACAAATGTCCCCCAGGCGGCTGCGGCCCACCGGCCTGTGTCTCTGTTCACACCCTTACTTACCACGATCTGTGTTTACCCCGCAGGTGTGTGCGTGCCTGGCCGTGCCGTGTGTTACCTGTCTCCTCCGGAATGGAAGCTTCCTGAGAGCAGGGGCAGGCTCTCCTTCCCGTCCCAGCCCCGCCCCCAGCCCCAGCCAGCCACGCCCCCTGTGGCGCGTGGGGACACATACTAAACTGTCCCTCGGAGCCCCTTGCCGAGTCCCATAGTTCCACACAGAGGCAGCACCCCTCCAAACTACCCCGGGCTCCGCCTTCCCCAGACCTCGACGTTTCTCTCCCCCATCACGAATCTCATCTAGCATCTCGACACTAACTTCCTACCTGGCCACTCCCAGCTTAGAGCCAACCAGTGGCTGCCCACTGCCACTGGGACCGAGTCCCCGCTCCTGGATCAGCAGGGCGCACTGGGCCGCCCCAGAGACTCGGCCTGCCCAGCTCCTTGTGCGCCTTGTGCGTTGCTGGAGGCGCACTGGATACATTTATGAAGGACCAAGGAACACACGTGCCAGTGGGAGGAGGAGGAGCTAACGCAGGGGGGCTGACCAGGAGGGGGCCTGGCTCCCCAGGGAGCCTGCGGCCATCTCCCTGCCCATGGAGCTTGGAGAGGCGAGGGTGCCACCCTTTTCCCTGCACCACCCATCACCCCTGGCCCTGCGGCCTGCACACACCCCAAGGACCCCAAGGTCTCTCCTGTCCACTTTGGAGACCTCGTTCTTTGAGGATGATGGCAGACAGAGGTCTGGATCCCTTCCCAGAAACACACCTTGGGGATACGATAGGTCAACGGCTCTTTAAAACTGAATTATTCTTAGTAACAAACTGACCAAAATACCTTGGTATAAACACTGTCCACCCGCTCCGTCTCCCTTTGCCCCGCCCACTGCACAAAGCCCAGGCCCTGGTTTCTGACTCCCGTCCTCTCGGGGGCAGGTCCTCACTGGGACCGAGTGTCAGCTCCTGCCTGTTCTCCCGGCTCGGACAAGCCCCAGGCCACTGGAGCACACTTAACGCTGTCTCACCTCACACCACCCTGAACCCGGCTGACCCTGGTCACTTTCTCTGGTCCGGTAGGACGTTCTGTTCCACCCGTTTCAACGCCACCACTGAAGCTACCGAGCGCCAACTGTGCGCCAGGCACTGCAGGTTGTCAGTGAACCCCTCCCCCTCGGTGAGGAGGCCCAGGTTCGGGGCGGGAATGCTCTAGCCCCCCCGGAGCCTGCTGCCTGTCCGGTGGCAGAGCGCCGACCCGAGCCAGGGGTGCCGGCCCCGAGTCGTGCTCTTTCCCGCTATCCCGCAGACCAGGGACCCCCGTGGGGTGGTCCCCGTCAGGACCCGACGGCTGCAGCGTTGTGAAAGCGTTCCTTCCCAACCCCTGAGCTGCAGGGGGTTTGGGGTGAAACACAGTCCCTGAGGACCGAAAGGTCTGCCAGGTCGGAGGAGGTGAAGGGCGGGGCTGGGGGAGCTTACGTTGGCCCCCCCCCCCCACCAGCTGGCATCAGAACAGCGGCTCTAAGCCATCTGTAAGGCGCCCCCACTACCGATGGAGTCTCTGGCTCTGTCCCTCCCCGTTCCTCCGAGCCCAGCGTTGACATACCTTCTCGGCTGTGCTGGGTGCCTCGTCGCACCTTCAGGCAGGTGGACACCTGGACGGTCACACACGTCGTCATCCCACAGGTGTGTGCTGAGGCCCTCGACCCAGCTCTGCGCAGAAAACGAGCTGCAGCTCGGAGACCTCGGGGCTCCCAGAGTTCTCTGCGGCCGGAAGACCTCGTGATTTCAGGCCTAAATCCTGCCCCACATGAAACCAATCCCAGCCCAATAGCAGGCAGCTGGGCTGGGAGCTCAGTGCCTGCAGATGGGCCGCCCGCTCCCGGCTCCTCCTCCTGTCTTGTCAAACACCTCCCTCTCCCGGCATTTTCACCCACGTGCAACGAGGGATGGATGTGCGCTGGTCACTGGCCTTTCACAGGCCTTTTCCCCCGTTTCTCTGGGATCGCTCCTGTTCTTCAAGACTTCAGCCACCGGACGCGGGCACGACGCTTCCGCGGGCCACTGCTACGAATGCTCGAGATCATGTCAGTTCAGCGACGACAACCTGGTGCTGCACATTAAAAAAAAAAAAAAATCCCCAAAAAGCGGAAAAAAAAAAACAAACCACCCAACTTTTCTAAAGTGGGTGTCTACGTCACGTGGGTTCCACCTTTCTAGAAAACGTGGACCTGCTGTCCCTGGTCTCCATTCCACGAGGCCACACCCCGCGGGAGCCGGGGCCTGTGCCCTCCAGGACTCGAACGAGGGAAACCGTCTTTCACACACAGAACCGCTAGGACCCAAAAGGGGGTATAGGCACACAGCTAATCAGTACCAGCGGGACCGGCCAGACGGCCCGACTCCCTTCCTCCTTCGTGACGGGAAATTCAATCGGCCGACGTGGCAAAGCACCACTGGCCTCCGACTACAGATCCCGGTTCCCCAGAACCTCCATCATGACCGTGGGGTGCCTTCAGAGCTGGGAGTGCCTTGCAGCCACACCTCCCCCACCGGGGGGGCGGGGGGACTCGTCTTCACGAACAGCAGCTGCGTGAGGGCGGGAGACGAGCAGACAGGTGCAGGCGGAAGGTCTTCCCACTCGGCAGCGAGGTCGGACACCTGCGAAGGGTCAGCCCACACCAGCCACCAAGCTCATCTCGCTGGGCACGAGCAGGGACAGAGAGACCCGAGTGAAAGGAGAGTAAAAGGCAGGACGCTACCCAATGGCCCACCCTCAGGGAACTAGCTAAATACCTTCACGGTGCGTCCTTATACCCAAATACTAGGCAGCCAGGGACAAAAGTGACATCGGCTTACATGTCCTGACATGGCCAGATCTCCCGAGGCGTGTGAGATGAAAAAGCAAGGGGCAGTGCGTGTATAACACACGGCCATTACTGTTACATGGCGGTGGTGGGGCATGTATGTACACACACACACCCTTCTACACAGAGTATTATCCGTGTAAGATATGGGAAAAACTGGTTAACACTGACCGGGGACTGAGGATTAAGGCAGAAAACCACTTCCACCCTTCTTTTTATGGTTTATACATTGGTTTCCTTAACTATATGCAAGTTGCATGTTTTTAAAACTTTTAACAACAAAAAAAGATGGGGGCAGCAAGGTCTAGAAACACTCTAATTTCATCCTCCAAGTCCACAGCACCCCACTGGTGGACGAATGGGGGCAATCTAGCCACTGGGAAAACACCCGCGACCTCCTGGGGCTTTGCGAGCACAGCCCTGCAGACTCGGCCATGTGCTTTCTGACCCAGGGCTCACGCAGTGAGGCTGGAACCCACGGACAGTGGAAGCAGGGGGGCAGCTGCGAGTCAGCCCTGCCCCCTCACCAGGAAGCAGAGATGGGCTCACGCCGGGGGCTGGGGCCGGTGTCCTGCCTCTGCAGGGACGTGTGAGGCCAGGGCAGCGCTCGTGGGAGGTGGGCTCGTGGGGGAGGGGCGCTAAGCCAGCTCCCAGGACGGCCCCCGAGGCCCAGACTGGCGGCTGTCCCACAAGTTCTCACGGGCCAAAAGCCGTCTGCTTTCAACCTCATTTTACAGGGCAGATGATTTTTTAAGTCTATAAACTTAAATTGTATGTCACTGAATTAGTAATAGCACACGACAGGGTTTTGTTTTGTTTTGGGTTTTTTTTTTTTTTGGAAAAATTTCTTAACAGAACATCAGGAGTATTGCAACACTTTATTTAAAGAGTATTGGCGTTGAATTAGTAGCTGAAGTAACAATTGCATGAAGCCAGATTAGATGTACTGCATAATACTCATACTTGATTTATTGACATTACTTAGCAATTTATTGGACAAAGGTCAACTTTTTGTTTTTTATTAAGCACATTCCACAGTACAAAGCTGTCATGAATAATATCTGTACAATTTAACAGCTTCAATAGCTGTTCAGACACAAATTTATTTCAAACAGATAATTGGCAAACATAATTAATTACAAGTTAGAATCAGACTATCCCAGTGCTTTAAAACATTAATATAGCAGTAATTTACACTTGCTCAATTATGGGTTAGCAAAATAAAGTCCAGAGTACGGCTGGGAATTACTACTATAATCCCAGAAAGTCGGAATTCCTTGGGTGCCGAAGTCCCCTGCTCTAGTTTTAGTAGGCACGATTCAAAGGGTGTGTGCATATTCGAAGGCCATGATCTCCCAAGGAACGAGAACTGTTATATTGAACATGCAAAAACAACAACGGAAAGTCCACTCGTCCAGGAGAACTGCCGCCCCCCACCCGCCCCCGGGCTCTCCCCGCTGGTCCGCCAGGGCGGCTGCAAGGTGACCGGCGCCGGAGAGTCACAGCACTCTCACGACTGCTGTCAGGCTTACAACACCCGCCTTACGCATGGAGGCCCGTCTCTTTACACTTTGAGGCTCAATTTCTCAAAAACAGAAATTCAGTCACGGGGGAGGGAAGGATGAGTCTAGAAAAGGGGAAAGCAGAGCCGACTCGATAAACAGATCTCGCCCGCGTGCCCGCCCCCGCACCGTGATCAGCGCGGGGCCCGCACGGGCCCGGGGCTCGCCTGCAGCAGCGAGGGCTTCCCCGGGCGAGGTGTGGCGACAGGAGGTTCGCATTGGTCCTTTAACACGTTACCGACATCCCATGATCTTTGGAAACAATGGCGAGGGGCCAATCAACACCTGATATCGGATGAGGGAAGGGGGGGCCGGCCACCGCCCAGGCCCTTTCCACGCTCGGCCAGCGTGGCAGCGCCACCCACGCACTCAGGCCGCGGGCGCTCCGGAGCGCTGGGAACCTGCCGGACCCACAGCAGCAAGGGACACCCGAGGTGACGGGGACGGGATCTGTCAGTCTGAGGCTTCGCACCGCACGGGAGTCCCCTTCCACTCGAGACGCGCCCCCGAGCCAGCCTCCCCCGGCGCCTGGGCTTCCACACGCAGCGGGGCCCGCTCGCGTGCCGACGGGCCGGGGCGTGCGACTCCCAGGGCCGGCGGGCACGGGCCTCCCTGCCCTCCCCTCCCCTCCCCTCCCCGGGGTTCCTAACGCACAGAGTGATGGTGTCGGCCGGGAGGTCCAATGAACACTGTGGGACGTGACCGCCGGTACTCAGGAGCACTTCTGAGGAAACGAGAATAATGTTCGGGTACCTCTCTACCGCGTGTACTGCACAACGAATAAAACGTTCGGTGTTGAACTTCAGAAATCACACTGTAAAACAGGATTCCCATTAAAAACACACTCCACACGCACACAATGACAATGACGAAATAAAAACGCCGTATGAACACTGCAGGAAGGGTTCTAGGCAGCCCACGCCAGCCCCGGCGCCGGGCCCTGGAGCCCGGCCCCCGGCCGTGTGCGAACACACTCTGCATTAGTGTCTCGGGCCCGGGCCCTGGCTCCAGCCACCTCGAGGTTAAACTGTTATGTACATCTTATCTACATGCGGATACAGGATTTAAATTAGGAGGCGAGCACGCGTGTACAGGTGTTACCCTACCAGATACCGGGAGATGGCTGGGCACGGAGAACAGTTAACGAAAAGAAGAGCTATGTTAAATACAACCTGGCTCACAGTCCTTTAAATTAAGAGAAATGGTACGGAAAGGAAGTGTAACCCCAAAAACGTCCCCAACGCAACCCAGAGAAACTTTCCCACAGTCCGCACGTCCCTAACGCAAGTCAGAACGCAGAGTGGCGTGGACGGTCAGAAGGAGACTCCTGCAGAGGAGAGCCCTGGACATTCTGGGTAGGTGTTTGGCACCCAAAATTTCACCAAAGGATGCTGTTTCTGATATCAGATCAAAGTGCAAAGCAACATAAATTAGAGGCCAAGTCTTCTCTTGACCGTCAATTTACTTCCGGAGAACAGCCTGTGTGTTCCGTTCACACGGACAGGTTACACGGGAAGCAATCGGTTTTTTTCACGGATGGGGGAGGGATGGGCTGCTGTCCTGCTTGAAGTCAGTGAGGCCAAGGTGTCCTTCTCAAAGTGGAGGCCGGAGTCGGAGGTGGGAAAGGTCGGTGCTTGAAGAGTTAGGCTGCTTTGCATCTACCCAGCGTCTAGAACCAATTCCAGCTTCGAGACTCAGCTGTGAAGAACTCCCTTAGGCATTTGGTAGCCGTGTAGCCAGTAGTTCAAGACTAGGAAACCCTGGGGGAAAAAAAACACCGAGTGAGTAGGGACGCCATGCCGGCCGGACAGGGAGCACGCACTGCCGCGCACACAGCCCCGGGCTGGTCTTCCAATGGTCGGCGCCGCAGGGACAGAAGCGGCGGCTGCTCCTGGGTCCTGCCCGCCAGGTGTCGCATGCACCCCGCCCCCAGAAACCCTGTCGGGTGCGAACTCTTACAGCCGCACCACGAAGCAGACCACTGAGGCTCAGCTCAAGGCATCGGGTAGGTGAGTTGGTAGGAGTGGGGGCTCAGAGCAATGCCCGAGCCTACAGCCCGCCATCTCTCAGTGCGGCTGCCAAACGGTATGCCTCTAACAAAATACGCTTCGGTCAATTTTGTACTTAGCATACTCCTTCAGGGCATTCAGAACCTACCAGCGCCTGCCTCATGTCCTCCTCAAGGTGCTATCATTGCGGACAAAAATATGCAAAGCTAGTGAATGAGGTAACTGTTCCACACAGAATGCTGACCGTCAGAAACTACCTCCCTGTGAAAGGAATCATTAATTAAAGGACAGCAGTACAGAGGAAAAGGCCATTAAACGGTCCAGACGTGTTGACCATGACTCTGAGCCAGCGACACACTTCAGTCACAACCTTTCCATTCACCCACGTATGGAAGCATAATGCACACGTGCCTAAGCAGAACATTCATGGGACGGGGCTCATCCCCGCGATGCACTGCGATGCAGGCCGACGCTTCCTGTTCAAGGTTTCACCAAAGTCACACTCCGTCCCACTGATTTCACGATCACTCACGCGTCACCACCCTCTCCAAACACCACACTCAACCATTGCTCTAGAAGGTCTAAAAGTCAGGGTCTAAAATTCTATTGGGGAGGGGGAGTGAGGGTGAGAGAGAGGGGGAGAGAGAGCGACGAAGAGAGAGTGATTTTTTTAAGGAAAACTTTCCTAAAAGGTTGTCAATTTTCATAGATACCAAGAATTCAAATAAGCTTTCTCAATGAGTTCAAGAAAGATTCAATTTCATCTGCCACTATTCTCCCATGAGGGGTCTTATGGGCACCCAAATGGCTCTCATCGAACCCCCAGAGGTAGGTATCTAAGAGGCAGGCCGGCTGGGGCGCTGCTGGAGGGGAAGGTGCGCGGGCTCGGCCCCCCTTCCGGGGGATGGCATGCCTCAGTGTATGGGGGGGGGGGGTCCGCACACGTCTTATCTCTTCTCCCAGACACTCAAGACATTTCTAGAATTTTAACTAAAGGTAAAAGGGTTGGGCAAAGATTAAGCTAAAAAAAAAAAATTTATCAGTAATGTGTTTTATAACAGCTAAAAGCTAGGGAGGGGTCACCAAAAATATAATAACAGGATACAGCCAAACAGTCAAATATTATTTCGCCCATTAAGATGATAATTCAGGCAAACACTGAAATTACTGACATGCAACTATTTCACAACAAACAAAAGTATTTAAAAATGTGTGGTCATCCACCGTATCTTTGAAAGCCTGAAAGGCTATATACAGCAGAGTTAACAATGGTGAACCACAAACAGAATTTTACTTCCTTCTTTTGGTTTATCTGTTTTTTTTCCCCCTAATGTTCTCAATGATCTTATATTGTCTGGTTATAAGAGAAATGAGAACTACTGTATCTATAGCTCTTAGGAGCTAGCGATTTTTAAAAATGACCGGGCTAATACATCTATTGCTAGGCCTCCTGACAGAGAAGTACTCTTACCTAATATCTCAGGGGTGAGTCTTTTACTCCAAGGTTAGATCATCATTAGGGTAGTGTTTCTCATGATGCATAAATCCTACAGCATCACATGGTAATAATTTTTTTCATGTTACAATAAATGAAAAGAATTTGGAAAAGAGCAATAAAAACCATGAAGTTGACTGCCAAGGCTGTCAAAAGTAATTTACTTTGAAGAGACAAACACATTTGAGGTTTCATTGCTTGTGTTGCTTAAAAAGCAGATAAGATTTTTCCACTGATCTGTAATTGTGGGTCATAACAAGGCAGTCGTTCCCTGCAAGGGGCTGGGCGGAGGGCCTGGAAGAAGTGACACCGGTTTCCTTTCCACGGGGCCGATGACAGAAGCAGCACTGCTGACCACCGTCTCATCCCTGGGCCAGAGGAACCTGGTCTCGGGGCCCTTTCACGCGACACGTACTCGCTGTCCAGCTTACGAACGTTTACCACGTTCCACAATTCACCTGTTACGGGCGCCGGGGCGAGGGGCACGCTGGGATGTCAGGAATTTCACCAGGTGCCTCTTTCAACACACACCCAGACACCCAGGGGACGGCGGGCACACTTAGGTGGTCCCGGGCACACTGAGGGGTCCCGGGCACGCCGGCTCTCGCCTGGGCCTGCCCACTCCGGGAGCTCGGCTGCAGCTCCGCCCGCCCACGCTCCGTCTGCCCACGCTCCTCACTACGTGCTCCCCGTACGGGGAGACCCAAGCAGAGGCCGGCTCAGCTGCAGCTAGAGCGACGCAGGGAAGGAAATGCACAGCTTATAAAGACAAGATGAAGAATGGGATAAACTTAACAAAAAGTGTGCAAGAAAAACCCTGCAAACCCCTGAGGGAGAGAAAGTGAAGACGGCCTAGATAATGGAGGTAGGCCGTGTTTATGGGCCGGAAGGCTCAGCAAGTGTTGAGATGAAATTTCTCCCCACAAGAGGTTTTCAGGTTCAGTGCAGCCCCAACCCTCACCCCAGCGGTCCTCTCCACGGTCTAAACCTGAAGGTCTAAATCAAAACTGAACGTGGAAACCTGGAGGGCCCAGAGCAGCTGGAACAGCATCTGCAAAGCTGGAAGACTCAGACATACAGCCTGGCACTGGCGGGCGGACGGAAGGACGGCCGCAGGGCAGAAGAGCGTCCAGGCGCTGGGGTCCAGGTGAGGGTCGCCCGGTGGTTTCTGGCCGAGGTGCCAGAGCAGTCCGACGGGGAGAGGAGAGCCTCCCCACCAGGCGGCACTGGAGCGGCCAGCCGACTGCGCAGGAACGGGGGCTGCGGCGTCCTGGCCCCGTGCCATGCAGAGTGAGCTCCGGAGGGCGCACAGACCTAATGTAACGGCTCCAGGGGTAAGACTTCCAGAACGACACTGGTCCACAAACGGCCACTAGCTGCACTGAACTGTTTAAATACGAATTCAAATAAAGTATAATTAAATGTAATTAAACCCAACTAATTCCCATTAAAATATAACGGAAACTCAGTTCACAGGTCGCACTGGCCGCATCTGGAGAGCTACAGGGCCCCGGGGGGGTCGGCTACCGTGCAGGGCGCGGCGCAGCCCCGCAAAACGGACACGACCTGGGGGTGGTGCGCGGGGCGGGGCCTGCTGAGGCCGGGGCGGGGGCCAGGGGGTCAGGCTGGGACTACAAAGGTGACACGAGGGAACTTTGGGGGTGACAGAAATGTCTGTCCTGACAGAGAGGCGGTCGCAGGGACGGGTGCGTCTGTAAGGACCTGTGACACGGGACACTGTAAATCGGGACGATCTACTTCACACGAATCAGGCCTCGATGACATGGACCAGAAACACCGCGACAGAGGCCTGGTGGCGGCGAAGGCCGGGGCGGAGGGAGGTGTGTGCACCGGGCCTGCCTGCGGGAGGAAGGCGTGTGTACCGCAGCCGACCCGGCCGGTTCAGACACCCGGTTCTGAGGTCTCACTGAGTCACCTTCACGTTTGCGCGAGCAACTACGTGAACGCACCGCAGTTTCACCCGCGCTTCTGTAGGGACACACCGCTGGGTGGCCTGGGAACAAGAGCGCAAATGCGGCCTGTTGGCCCTGGGTGTCCCTTGCCAAAGAGGCAGCAATGAGGGCTCAGAGTGCGGTGGGGCCCCCCTCGACGCTGGGCTGCGGTGATGGGCACCCCGTGAGGGCGGCAGGCCGGCACAGCGTGTCGGCGCCAAGCCCCGAAGTCAGTCCGAGGAGGCGAAGGGGCAGCGGAGCACGGGGTGCATCTCCCCAGCGGGAGCAGCACAAGGGGTGGGGGTGGGGGGTCTGCACCAGCCGGCTGTCCGGGGAGGGATTCAACGGAGTCCCGCCAGGGGGGAGCAGGGCGCTGGGTGGCAGACGGCACAGGAGAGAGAGGAAGGCGCTGAACCCCAACAGCCAGCTCTGCGGGGAGACCGCGGCCTGCGGACAACGGGGCGCAGGGAGGCAGAGGGCAGCCGAGGCTGAAGGGGAGGGGAAAGCGCAGGAGGGAAACCGGCTTTCATCTGGGTCTATCCCCCTCCCTCTGCGTCCTCAGGCTTTCTGGGAAGGGAGGCTGAGACGGGAGGAGCAATCACTCACTCATTCTCGCCTTCTTCCTCCGTGATCCCCTACGTCCAGTAAACGCAGGGGTCCTGCCTCGGGTGTTTCCACTGCCCTAAGAATCCGTCCAGAGAGGAAGCAGCAGGGGTGCCGGTCACGATCACAGGACACAGCATGATCACGCGGGAGACCGGGAAGAGCGATCATGTAAGTGGCTCACCGGTCACTCCGGTGGCTGGCCTCCGCACCCAGGCAGGCACAGCCAACTCACTGTGGCACCGAGTCATTTGGGGCCCACGTGGGGCCCCAAACCCTTCCAAAGGAAGCACCCCGCCAGCCTCTGCTGATCAGCGTGAGGAAAGGACTGATCTGCCACTCTGCCTGCAGGACCCTTGGCTCGTCACCAACAGACAGAACAGGGGCAAGGCCAGAGGTCAGCAAACGTTTTCTTAAAGGGCCAGATAAACGTTTGAGGTGGTCCAGGCCACCGGGTCTCCGTCGACAGCACTCAGCTCGGCCCCTGGAGCGCAGGAACGGCTGCAGACAACACGTGAGCCGGCGAGCACGCCTGTGCCGCATGCAACTCGGTGCATGGGCAGCGGAATCTGAACTTCACACAGTGTTCATGCGTCGTGAAATACTCTTTTACTTTTTTCAAGTATTTAAAAGTGTAAAAAAACTGCCCGGAGCTTGTTGTGGTGAGAAAAAACAATCAGGTGGTGGTTCCTACCTTTCCATCAGAACATTCACAACTCTGCACTTTGACTCTCCTTACAGCTTGAGCAGGAAACGGACAGGAAAACGCACGATGGTGAAAAGCGGCTAAGCATTAAGTAATGCTTTTCAGTGAAAATGAATTGTGTTAATCACACACACGTATACAGTGCTACATATACACACACACGCCACTACACTCAGGGTACACTCGATCTACAGCACTCGCCATGCATGGAACTCCCTGGCCCATGTGCAGATTCTCAGAGTTGGGGGGCACACCCCAAATAAAGAGGGTCGTCAGGCCCAAGGACACGGCCAAGTACGGTTTCTCACTTGTCCGAGGCTGGACACCCTTTGTCATCAAACGTGCCCTCGCCGAGGGCCCCCGAGTCTCCCTGGGGACAGAGCGAAGGACCTCGCTTCCGGAGCACCGCGGCGGCCCGGGGACGAGGAGTGGGGTGGGGGAGTCGAGACGCACAGCAGGCAATTCTGAATGGTTACGGTGTCTTCTTTTTTGATTTTAAATTAAAGGCAGACGTGAAGGACAGGAAAGAAGGAGAAAAAGGAGATTCTCCCACCCTAACACAGAGGACTCTACTGGTGTTAAGTTGGTGTGACAGGAGAAACCACCTAAAAAGTTTTCAGAAACAGGAGCAAACTAGTCTGTTGGTGCGAACCAACGACATGAGGATTCCGACGCAGACGTCGTTTGAACCCGACCGTGGGACCCGGCCCACCCTAGCCCTTGGTGAGGTGGAGGCACCCGACATGGATGAACCACTGGGTCCCCCTCACCGAGAAGGGCGGCCCAACCACAGCGCCCCCCCCCCCCGCACCCCGGACGGTGGCCTCCGGCAGCGCGGTCACACCGGCGCACTCACCTGGAGCGGGCGGGGCGCAGACTGTTATCTGGAGATGTATGTGTACGTTCTGGAGGGCGAGCGGGTCTCACTCTGGGCGCTGGGAGGCACGTTTAGGAAATCCCAGATCAAAATAGTGTCGTCGTGAGAGCTGCTGATGATCTGAAACTCATCGAACTGTAGCCGGAACACACGTCCAGAATGTTCCTGGGAAGCAAACAGCTGGGTGAACGAAACGAGACCTTCACAGTCAGCCCCTCATCCCGCGCCATCAGGGGTGTGGCCCAGGCGGGGAACTCGGCGACTCCTCCCGGCTCCCGGAGTCCCCGTTTCCAGAGCTCACTGAGCTCTGCCCTCCGGCCTGGGAGCACACGCACTGCTTCTCCTTCGAGGCCTTTCCTCGTGCCCTAGATCCTGGCCCATTGACACGACCAGGAGAAACTGTGAACGTGTCACAGAGGCTCTTAGAAAGGCAAGCAATATTTAACGCCCACCCTTGGTGCACTGTGCACACTGGAGCCAGGACAGTGTCTCCAGCGTGGCTGGGACTGTTGCCGACCACAGCCGACGCCGGGAGGAACGGTGGGACACTAGGAGTGCGCCCGTTCCGACCGAGGAGAAAACAGGAACGGCCCCGACCACAGCTCTGCATGTGCAGGTCAATGCGAGATGCGCACATACAGAAATAAAAGGTAAAACTACCAAAAACAAGGAAAATCTATCAATATTCTCAAGCATCTCTTCAAAAACACCACAAAAGCAAGCAGACTATTACAAATGATGTGCTTGGTAAAGTTATGAAAGCAAGATTAACACTTAAAGAGTAAGTCCTCCTGCATGTCAAGGCAATGACCCATAAACACAGGCTGAAGGGGAATTCCACCGTGACAGTGCCAGAATGTGCTGTTACGAAAGTGCAGCAGACCCGACGCCCACGTTAAGAATTCTCCCGAACCCACGGGGAGGGAATACTTTTTGCTCCATGCGGATAAGGGCCCACCTACAAACAAGGAAGCCTGCTTTCACACCCTCGGTTGTACAAATGCCCCCTGGGGAAGAGCTCACTGTAATGGGAAGGGCGAGAACTCCGACTCCGGCCAAACGAAATGACCACAGCAGTGCATTTCTCTGGAGACACAGCCCACGGGTCTGTGTGCAGGCGGCCACCCCGGCACAGGGAACCCCCCGCTCCCCGCCGCCGCCCCAGGCCACGTACCACCAGTGTGCGCAGACACAGCGTGCTTGCCGGGGCCCGAGGGTCGAGAGCAGCTTGCAAGTCCCACACTTTAATTTTCCTGGAAAGGACAACGGGTGGCCATGAGCGGACAGGTAACGCTTGTACGCTGCCGAGCGCGGCGGAACTGCCCACCCTCGGAGTGAGTGGGGAGCCGTGCTCTGGTCTCACAAGCAGCTCCCGCCGGCTGGGTCCTGAGAAGGATAAGGGCCTGCAGGTGCTCGGACTTGCTGGACTTGCGAGGCAGCGTTTTAAGGGAGGCAAGAACACAGCAGCAGGTCACCCAAGTCCGACCCTGACTTGATGCTCCACATCACCAGCTTCGTCCACCGGGGCTCTCGGGGGCCGGGCGGGTGCCGCCGGCAGAGGCAGGGCTGCCCCCGAACACCCCGGGTGCCTCCCTCCCGCCCGGGCAGAGGTCCCGAGTCAGTAACGGGAGTGTCAACCGACCCGTGAGCCCACTGTGGAGTATGCGTAAGGTCATCTTGAGAGGTTCACAGTCGCCATTTGCTAATTTAAGAAATTGTGAAGCTTTTAATAGAAGCTGTTTAATTCACCCGAAGAGGGAAGGAAATTTATCATTGAATTGGAGGGGGGAAAAGAAAAAGAGAAAAACCCATGCTGGGTTTAAGGGCCAGGGCAGAGACGTGGATTCCCGCACAACCCACGCACCGCCGCATTCACGGCGGGTAAAAGCACTCGTTCAGGGCCGCGGAGGCTGTCCCCGTGGGGCCCGGGGCCGAGCGGCACGGTAAGCCGGCCAGCCGCCCATCACAGAAGCTGCCCGGCACAGGGCCCGGGGCCGAGCGGCACGGTAAGCCGGCCAGCCGTCCGTCACAGAAACTGCCCGGCACAGGGCCCGGCCGCACACAGCCGCCCCGCCTGCGTGCGCGCTGGCCCCTCCTGCTCCCTGACAGCCGGGCGCCTGCAGGGGGACACACGCACCCGTCGTAGGCCCCGCTGACGATCCTCTTGTTGTCGAACCGGATGCACCGCACCAGCTCCTCGTGCCCCTCCAGGACCCTCAAGCAGGCGCCACACTCGATGTCCCAGAGCCTGGAATGAAAACGAGCCTCGGTGAAACCGCTCCTTGCACGGCGCCCCCTGCCCCCACCTCCCTCACGTCCGTCCGTACGTGCTTGTCACTGCTCTGGAACTCACTTCCGCCCACACCACACACATCTGTGCGGACACTCGCGCCGCGTGTGCGTTTTCAAGCACCCACTGGGGAGGAAGCCTTACTTTTCCTTGTATACACTTTGGAACTCTAAAAATCACACGTGTGCAGTACTGATTGAGTAAGGTCAACAAGGAAGAGACTTCCGCCCCAGGCACGTCCAGCCTGGGGCACACGAGGCCCGTGGAGGCCGCAACCAGCACGGTGGTCTCCCCTCCGGAGGCGGCCCCGGGGCGCCCCCCTCGGACACGTGCTGTGCGCTGGGCGTCACGGCCGCGCGGGGCGGGGTGGGGAGGCTTGCTAGGCACGCACGGTGTCTTAGGAACGTGAACCCACTGTGTGCGCACACGCCGCCAGCCTTTCTCTCTGCACCGGAGTTACATAACAACTCTGGAAATAAAATGCTGTCTATTACCACCGATCTTTCTACATTATTTGCAAACAGAAATCACAGCAACCTAAGACGCACGGAACAAAGTCAGGAAACTAATGCTGAAAAGCACTTCCCGCGGCCCCCCGCCAGCAGCCCCCATCACACCCGGAAACTGTGGTGACCCAGGCCACTCCGTACAGCCTCGGAGACTCCGGTGGGGAGGCCACGGCTGCTTGCTGCGCGGACACTAAGTAACACAGGGCATGGCGAGCACAACAGGACCGAGGTTCCACCACCAACGTGACTTTCACGGTATCTTAAAAGAAAACTTACAGCAGCCAGAGCCCTTTCTCAAATAATCTCGAGGCTAATCTTAATTTTTGCCCAAACGTTAGGCAGTTTGGTTATTTAAAAAAGCCGCTACTAGCACCCACTGGGACAGGGGGACGACGACTCGAGACAGCTGTGCAGACGTTTAAGGCAAGCCCTAATGAGATAGGAAGGGTTTGAGGGCGGCTATCTTGATCAGAAAGCAAGGACACTGAGCACGGGGAAGAAAAAGGGGAACAAAACCACGACCAGGCAGGAGGAGGTGACCCTGTAGCCCAGTCCCGGGAAAGGCAGACCCAGCGGCCGCCCGCCCCGGCCGGGCGGGAGGCAGGTGCGCGGGGGTACGGGAGGGCAGGGCCGGGCGGGAGCGCGCTCCCCTGAGCGGTGCCGGCGTCAGGGACCCCGGCTGGAGCTACGGGCCTGGGGCTGCGTCCTGGGGGACTCCCGGAAGAACACACACTTGGCCCACCTCGGTACACACTGGGAGTGGGAGGGGAGCGGACACGGGGGCAAAACCAACCCCCGCCGGCCCCGCCCGCGCCCCGCCCCGCCCCGCCCCGCCCACCTGATGGTGTTGTCGGACGAGCCGCTGACCACCAGCCGGTCCCGGTACTGCAGACAGGCGATGCCGCGCTTGTGCCCGTTCAGGGTGCGGACGAACTCGCAGGTGCTCGTGCTCCAGACCTGCAACAGACGGGCGCGTGTTACTTTGCTCCCCTCGCTCCCGTGAGGGTCTGTGTATGTTCAGAGCGAGGGGCAGGGAAGGAGAGAGGGAGAGAAATGTCAACGTGTGGCTGTCTCTCACGTATGCCCGGTTGGTCACCTGGCCCGCCACACAGGCCTGTGCCCTGACCGGGAATCGAACCCCGACCCTTGGATTCGCAGGCTGGCGCTCAATCCACTGAGCCACACCAGCCAGGGCCAGATAGCAATATTCTAAAGAACGAATGCAGAGAAGTCCCCTCACAATATACTTTTAAGAGACAACCAGAGCTTCTAGGAACAATCAAAATACTTGATTACGAGACATGGGTGGGCGCAGCTGGGGGACGGACTGGACAGCAGACAGTCTTGGTGGCTGAGCAGTAGGTGACACTGGGATGGAGCCAGGGGGCGGCTGTTGGGCTCCGGGCCCTGCGCCCGTCCCACAGAGAACGCCTCCTGGGTGGTGCGGACCGTCGGCTGCCCAGAGGGAGGAGCCTGGGCCAGTTTCTCGTTTTTCACCAGCTGACACGTCACGCCCAATGCAAGCGATGTGAGCGAGCGCCACCTTTCACACCCTCCTCTTTCCAGCAGCGTCTCGGCCAGCTCCACTGGCTTGGACACATTGTCCCTGCTGCCGTAAACGTGGAACAAATAATCGCTCTTTCGTGAGACCATCTGCAGGACCAAGATGTTCACACGCACACAACGTATCACCAGCCACATTAGGAGACGAACGCAACGGAAGTGCCCCGAGTTACTGTGCCAGCTGCACGTGTAGTTGAGTGGACAACTAGACGTCCACGTGCAGAAGAAAGACAAGAACCCCTACCTCACACTGTGCATACAAATTTAACTCAGAATGGATCAAAGACTGGAACGTGAGAACTTAAACCGTGACGCTCTTCAGAAGAAAGCACGGGAGTAAATCTTTGTGACGCTGGATTAAGCAATGGTTTCTCAGATGTGACAACACAGCAGTAAAAGAAATTGTTAAAATGGACTTCATCAAAATTAAAATTATTTTGTGCTTCAAAGAAAGCCATCAAGAAAGAACATTTAAAAAATTAAAGTAAAACGACAACCCACAAGATGAAAGAAAACATTTGCAAATAATTATCTGATAAGAACCTTATAATCAGAATACATAAAGGCCTTTATGTATGCAACTAGACAATAAAAAGACAAATAATTCAGTTTGTGAAATGAGCAAAAGACTTCAGAGTTTCTCCACATAAAAATGGCCAGTAAGCACATAAAAGATGCTCAACGTCGTTAGTCATCAGGGAAATGAAAAGCAAAATCACAGGACACCGCCGCACGCCCACGAGGGCGGCTGCAATAAAAAGACAGTAACGAGTGCTGACGAGGACACGGAAAAACCTTCCAGGCTGACATGACGCCACAGCTCCTTAAGGCCCAGGCCCTCCTGGCTTCCAGGCACCGGCTGGTCTCGTCCCAACTGGTGTGGCTGAGCGGTGGGTGGGTTATGACAAGTCCTAGCTGCTCAGCATCCAGGCCACCCAGTCTGTGATCCTCGGGGTGACGCACTAGGACGCTGCCTAGTGTGTCATGAAAAGGGTTTTTTGAGCCAAGTCCAAGCACTCATACATTGCTGGTGGGACTGTGAACTGGCCCAGCCACTTGGGGAAATGGATTTGGCAAAGGATCAAACGCAGAGTTGCCATCCAGGAGAATTCCAAACACACGTCCACCCGACGTTCACGGGAACAGCGTTTGTAACAGACAACACGTGCACACACCAGAACGCCCAGTGGCTGGTGAGTGGACAGACACAACTCAGCGCACACCCCCGCCGGACTGCACGCGGTCACCAAGAGAAGCCAGGCCCCGCCCCCTCCTCAGTGTCCGTGGGGGGACTGCGAACACGACGCACTGAGTGAGAGACGCCAGACACCAGAGGCTGCAGGTTGCGTGACTCCGTCCTTACGAGGAGAGGCAAGGAGAGGCAAGTCCCCGAACAGAAGGCAGATCAGGGACTGTGGGGTCAGGGGAGGAAAACCGGGCCGACTACCGATGGACAAGAAGCTTTTTGGGGTGGGGGGGGACTGAAAACATTCTGGGGGAGTGTTATGAGTGCGCGACACTGTGAACAGACTAAAGGCCACTGAACTGCGGGCTTTCAAATGGTGAATCTTAATGGTATGTGAAATACAGAACTGCTATAAATACTGAAGAAAGCTAAAAGTTTAAACATTAAACGGATGCTGGACTCAGAACTGCATTTACTGTCGCCTGCGGACCCCCAGAGCTGCAGAAACTGCCGGCCGCCTCACCGCGGCCCGCCACAGGTGGGGCCTCTCGGACACGGGGCGTGTGCTGCTTGGTGCCACGTCTCCGGCACCCGGCCCAGGGTCTGGGCGGGACGGGCTCTCCAAAGAAGGCGAGCACACCAAATCTCAGCTCTGCCGCTAGCCGGCTGCGAGGTCTCCAGGGTAGTGCCCCACGCCGAGCCACGCCCGCACACAGGGGGGTGAGGTCTCCAGGGTAGTGCCCCACGCCGAGCCACGCCCGCATACAGGGGGCGAGGCCCACTGGGCAGACTGCCCAGAGGGAGACGCAAGGCGGCAATGGACAAGCTCCGAGCACACGGGACGTGTTCAATAAGTTAGTTCTCTCCCCTTGCAAAGACCGTCAATAACGCCACCTCCTGAAACAGAGGACTGCTCTGTGTCCCAGGCCCGAGACCCTCCCCTTGCCCCGTGCCCAAGACCCCAGAAGCACGCAGAACGGGGAGGTTTCAAGGACCCCTGAGCGCGGATGGAGGAGCAGCACCAGGTCGGCAGAAGCCACTTCTGCTTTCTCTCCCCCCTAAAGGGACAGGAGGAAGCAGACACAGTTACCTTGATGGTTCTGTCACCAGAGGCAGACACGATGTACTTATCGTCGAAGTCCACCACGTTGACAGCAGCACGGTGGCCGACCAAGACGCGCCGCAAAGTGATGTCGGTGGCGGAAGCCATGTCCCACACGGCGATGGAGCGGTCCTTGGAGCAGGTCACCATCAGGCCGTTGCTGAAGCGCAGGTGCAGCACGGCCTCGTTGTGGTGGATCAGCGTGTTCAGGACCTCGCCCGTGTTCACGTCCCAGACTCTGCAGCGCGGAAAAGCAAACGCTGAATGAATGAGGCAGCTGGGAAAAGACCGTGGTATCTGTCTTTTCTGGGCCCTTTCTTTCTCTCTTAAGGTTTTTATTTCTTTATTATAAGAGAGAGGAGAAGGGAAGGAGAAAGAGAGGGAGCGAAACATCCATGTGTGAGAGAGACATCCATTGCTTGCGTCTCGCGCCCCCCCAACTGGGGACCTGGCCAGCAACCCGGGCACATGCCCTGACCAGGAATCAGACTGGCAACCCTTTTGGTTCACAGGCCGGTGCTCAATCCACGGAGCCACAGCAGCCAGGGCTGGACCCATTCTCAGTAGTGGGCTGGGGAGGTGTGGACTGACTTGTATTTGATGACTGGGACCTGACACCTAGTTACAAGCTTTAAAGGAGCAATTTCTCTATTTGCTGAGAAGTGTTTCAAAAAAGAAGGCCAAGTTTGGTTCAGGTTCAGGTTTATTTAACAGCCAGGTGTCCACGGACTGTGTTTGCAGGCTTGTGTTGATGGCAAAAAAAGGAACAAAAAAAGATTCCGTGAGTGGGCGGGCTCTGCGGCGAGTGTGAGCAACAGGGAAGGGCCGCTTGGCGGCTGGAGAACGGATGCCGGCCCCAAGCTCACGGTCCTTCTTCACCTCGGACAGGCCTCCAAACCCGTGGAATACTAAGTCACGACGTCTCGTTATTTCCCACGCCCACCGATTCGTTCACCCAGCTGCTTTGTGACGAAGCCAGTGTATCCCAACTGGCCCACCCACGCGACGTGGGGTGCCTAGAGACAGTCCTTCCACGTCATAGCTTTTCTGCAACCCCAGTCCCCTCCAAAAACAAGGGGATGCAGAGCAGAGGAGGGAAGACTCGGGCTCCTCAGGCTGAGCTGTGATCTGGGCAGGAGTGGCTGGGAGGTGCAGGGCCAGGGAGAGGACCCTGGGCAGGCTGGTGACTACTCTGTCCCCAGCTGTGCCTGTGAACCCATCCCCTTCCCCCCCGACGACAAGCTTTCCCCGGGTGCCCAGCAGTCCGGCTAAGGCACCGCCGCACAACCTCCGGCTCTGACACGCTCCTCGCCACGCCCAAAGCAAAGCTAGCTGCGGCGGGGAATGTCCTCCTCCCGGTGGCCCAGGAGCGACCCCTGCACCGGTTCCTTCTGCCCCCCCGACTCCCACCCGGTGGTCATCACCGCCTTTCTAGGGAACAGTGCCACTTCCCGTGTCACCGCTCTGTCCCGGGGGTGGCGTCTGAAAACGAGCGTCTCCGTGACTGGAGAGGCCACACGATATGAAGATAGTCTTGACTGATATAAATTCAGAGTTCAAAATTAACCATCTGAGCAAATTACTTAAGCTCTCTGATCCTGGCTCCCTTACACTGTGAGGTGACGAGGAAGCCACCATCTGCCCACTGAGAAAGGTGGGTGTGAGAACCCAATCGGGGAGCCTTCCGCGGGACACCTCGCCCGCGGACCCCGCCTCTTCCGCCCCGCTCCGGAGGGGAGGGTGCCGGCCCACACCAGGCAGGGCGCCTCTGGAGGAAAGCACGCTGCCATCGCTACACTACCCGGCCATGGGAACAGGTCCCGCCAAACAAAGGTTAGTTTTCCCACCTGCCTAGCGCGAACGCACCCACGCCCACACCCGGGATGGTGCTGACACGCAGCGCGCAAAACCACCCGCAGGGAGCGCGGGTGGCTCGCACCTCCTCGCGGGGGGCCCCAGGTCCAGGCCGCCGAGGCCAGAGCACTCACCTCACCGTGGAGTCCGAGGAGCCCGTCACAATGACACGCTCGTCGTACTGGAGACAGAGCACGGAGCCGGTGTGCCCCGTTAACACTTTCAAGCACTCCAAGCTGGTTTTGTCCCAGATCTGTGGAGACAAGGCCAGCCGCAAACAGTGAGTTAGCACGCCGTGCTCGGATACGTGTTTCCGGCCCACCCTATTTCCTGCGTCATGCAAGCAAGCAAACCTGTCGCAGGACACGAGAGTGAAACACCAACAGGCGGAGAAGGACAAGAAGAGAAGAGGGAACAGGAATGACTTCCAGAACAGATGTGCCATGCACTTTACCGGACTCACACTTAACAGCCTTGTACGGGGGATTTAAAGATAAACTCGGTGAGAAGAGCTGGCTCGCCCTCCGGAAAACAATGTGACAATTGTCTATTAAGCGCCTTTTAAAAACGTGTACCCCTCAGCCCCTTATGTTTGTTCATAAAAATACTCAACATTTCAGAAAAAAAATCAATATAAACTATGGAATTTTTAATAAGAAAACACTTTATTAGAGTTGTTTTTTTTTTAAAATCATTATAGCCCTGCCTGGAGTGGCTCAGTGGATTGAGCACTGGACTGCGAACCAAAGGGTCACCAGTTCGATTCCCAGGCAGGGTGCATGCCTGGGTTGCGGGCCAGACCCCCAGTAGGGGTCACGTGAGAAGCAACCACACATTGATGTTTCTCTCTTTCTCTCTCTCTCTAAAAATAAATAAAATCTTTAAAAAAATCATAATAAAATGTGTCTATGATGACATAACCACTATGCAAATTTTAAAAAAGAACAAATATATTACAAGGTAGTAAAGTGTTAGTAAGAGTCGATTTTGTACCCTGAATGCTCTTTTTCTCACTTCTTTTGGACAGTTAAAAAAAACTATTCTGCCGACCTGTTTCTTTCCTTACAGAATAACACCGGAATCTGCAGTGTCCCCAAGGCTTGCTACAAATGGCCACGATACTGCCAAGTGCTCTAGGCACCTAAGTGACTTCCAATAAAACAGCAAGGGTGCTTTTAATTTCAGACCGAGCAAAACCACCTCGATTTTGAAGAACTGATTAGTGATCAACAATGCAGAACAAAGTACAGAGGTTTCCGACCACGGGAATGACGGCTGGGTCTAGAGACCTGGCTGATCCCTCCAGAGTGCATTTCTGCTCCACTGTGTCTTATAAATCGAGCATAAGCTTAATTTAAACATGGGTGTGCCTCTGCAAAGAGCATTCTTCAGAAACACATCCAGTGTAAATGAAAGGCAAGCCCATGGCCAGCCTACACTCCGACGAGGTCCCTATGAGCCATTCCTATCTAGTTCTTAAAGGAGAACCGCCAGAACGGAGTGGTAACACGTGGCAACACGTGGCACCCTTTCTGGAGCAGACCCGTAGCCACGTGTTAGGGCAATCGACAACGGTGACACAGACGGAAGAGTTCTGCAGCCAACGTGTTCGGGAGCCGGGAAGCACGAGGTCTCTCCACTGGAGGCCTTCTCAGAGCCTTTCCATCCCGTGTCCTGTGACTCTCCGAGGAGCTGTGCAGCGTTTTCTCAACTTCTTTGAAGGGAATCACCCTTCGGATGAACATCCGCTAGATGCCCATCCACTGCCAAACATGGAAAACAAGAGAAACACTTCCTCTGCATGCTCTAACTCAGAGTGCGTTTTGCCCTAAGCTGTCTGACTTACTGTAATCCCACTGTTTTATGTATTTATATATAAATATATATATACATATATATACACACACACACACACACATATATATATATATGTATATATATAAAAGTGAAAAACAAACAAAAAGACCCTTTAACTCACCCAAACTAAAACAATAGAGAGAACAGGGCCAAGATGGAGAAAGCCTACTACAAACTATCTTCTCAGTTGATGATAACTAAAAACTCGAGAAAAAAATACACGAGCAGCTGGCGGAGGAGGAGGGCGGGGCGGGAGGGAGGGAGCAGGTGGACCGTGGCGAGGAGCAGAAGCTGGAAGAGCCAGCCGCCCGGGGCGAGGCCGCCACTCCGTCCTCTTGTTTCTGCTTCTCCTTCTGCTGCGGCTCCGGCCCAAAGCGGGGTCTGGGTAAGGGCGCTGGCTGCACAGGAGCCAGCGGCAGGGGCCATCAAAATCCCTGGAGAAACCAAGCTTTCGGGATGGAAGGCCTGGAGACAGGGGTCCCCGGGGGCCCAAGAACACGGGAGGACCCCACAGCCCCGCCCCCTTCTCGCCTGGCTCCTGGGACCCGAGGACGGGCCCGGTCGGGCAGAGGCACCAGGGCAGAGGCACCAGCGCAGAGCAGCGGCACAGGGGACGAGGCTCGATGAGAAACCCCATTTTTCTGGCCAGAGGAAAAGGGGAAGAAAGGACTCCTGAGGGCAGGAGGGACTTAGGAAAATCCGAGAGAAAAGACCCAGACGAAAAGGGCCCCATAAATCTGTGTGAACACCCACACACCACCTGACTCGAGCTGTGCACGCCGGGCACACTGGGCCAGCGTGGCCGAGGCTGTAGGAGTGAGCCGCCGTTCACGTTGCTGCTGAGGCCTCGGCCCCAGCTCTGAGGCCTGCCAGCTCCAGACAGACCCAAAGGAGCACGCACGGCCAAGGCTCTGAAAAGCAGAGATCGGAATCCCTCCCCAACTCCCTCTGCTGGAGTCACAACAGGACTTGTGCTCTGAACACAAGTAGGTTAATCACCTGCTTCAAAACCTACCCACGCATCCTCTCTAGGGAGGTATAACAGGGCCCTTCGTCTTTACCACGCAACACCCACAATGCCCCAGGTACAGTCCAACACTCGTGAGCACCAAGATCAGTTCTCAGGGGAAGAGACTCGATAACACGCAACAAGCCGGGGGTGACGCCGACGCTGTCACGGTCAAGGCTTCAGAGCCCTTACGGTAACTCCTCCCCAGGAAGTGCAGACAAACATGCTGCATGGGAGCGAAGAGACGTTCTCCGCAAAGAAACAGAAGCTAGTGGTGAAGAAAAACCGTTTGAAAAAGCACCAGAAATGTCTGAAATTTGGTGAAAGACATAAAGTTACAGATTCAAAAAAAAGCTCAGCAAAAGTCTTAGCTATGACATGAAGAACACGATTTAGTTGAAAAAAATTGAGACTTGACTTCCCCAAAATTAAAATCTACTATTAAGAAAATGGAAAGACAAGTCCCTGATTGGAAGAAAACATTTGCAAAACATATTTAACAAGGACTTGCATGCAGAATATATAAAGAACTCTGAAAACTCAATATGAAACTGGAAATCCCATTAAAAAAATAGATACAACTGTCGGGAGCAGACCAACAGCTGACCTCTGACACAGTCAGGTAAGGTCGGATGAGACGCATCTGCACAGCAGAGGCGACTGTGGCCAGGTCTCCTGTCTCCTCCTGCATGCCCGTCCCTGCTAGCAATAGGTGGTGGGATTTTTAGATGCCTGTGTGTTTTAATAAAAAATTTGCCCGATGCCTCTGATTCTGACTTCGAGAAATGACTTGTTGACCGCAGAACAGAGACCCTAGCAACCCTAATGCTGCCTGCTTCCCCCACCTGGGAAGTTAAGGACAAAGTTAAACTATGGGCAGACCAACTGCCAGAACGCTGAAGGAAGCTGTTGCTAGGAAGGTTTCTTAGGGAGCCACCACCTGAGAGCTTAAGATTTGTTAGACCCACTGCCCCTCCCACACCCTGGGACAGGAGTGTATAGAAACAAGTAGTTCTAGCTGAGAATAATCATCTCAGTACATGGAAACAAACACAAAACATGGCCCCTCCCCAAGATTTAGAAATTAAAAAAACATAGGCAAAAAGTTATCTGATTGAGATAAACTTAATTTTAATGGGTAATAGTTGATTTCTATAATATCTATAGATCACCCCTTGCATCCTTTTAATTTAGACCAATTCCTAGAATTTTAATAGATATCTAGTTACTAATTGGCACCTGAAAGTTTGTGCCCGTATAGCTTCGTTGGCTACCTGATTAATGACCCTCTTGGTCAAAATAACCTTTGTTTAATATGGTTGATCTGTGGGACCTCCTGTACTTTTCTGTTATTTCCTTGTTTAACATGGTTGATCTGTAAAACCTTCTGTGTTTTTGGAAATTATTTCTGTGGTAACCGTTTCTGTTTAATAATCACACTAGGCACTGAATGTTGTATAACTTCCCCTATAAAAATAAAGATTGATTTTTCTCGGGGAGTCAGTCGGGCCCCAAAAGCCTGGCTGTCCTCCGGCACCCCGCCGGGTGTCTCGCGTCAGTCTCCTCGCCTGAGCCGTGCATCCTTCAGGGACCCCGAGACCCCGCCGAGGCTGGGTCCCGGCATAAAACATTTGAACAGAAACTTGACCGAGGACCGCGCTGACGGTGAACAGGCGCCAGTAAGTGAGAAGATGCACGTCATCATCGGCCGCCGGGGAAACAAAGCGAGGCGTGTCCCCGTCCCCATCAGAACTGCTCGCCTAAGCCCTGAGAGCACCGTGGCCCGACAAGGGGGCAGAACCAAGGACCTGTCACGCGCTGCAGATGGGGAATGCGACGGTGCCGCCGCTTCGGAAAACGGCAGTTTCTCAGCAAGTTCAGACGCACGCTTACTACAGGAGTCGTAATCTTACTCCTAGGTTTTGACTCGAATGAACCGAAAACTTACGCCCTCACAAAAACGTGCATGCGTGTTTACAGTGACTTTATTCATAACTGTGAAAAACAAGAAACACAAATGTCCTTCAGCAGTTGACTGGACAAACGCACCGCGGGCACCCATAACATGGACCATTCCCCGGCAATGAAAAGAATTGACTATTTGCAGACGCAGCGACACAGAGGAAACGCAAACGTGCTAGGGCACACGTATAAGAAGCCAGACTCAAAAGCCCCACACTGCGTGAGTCCACCTACTGGGTATTTCCAAAAAGGCAAACTTACGGGGACAGAAGGAAGCCCAGGGCGGCCAGCGCCCAGGGAGGGGCAAGGGTGGGAAGGGAGGGAAACAAAGGCGCAGGACGAGGGAACCTCGGGGTGCGACCGGACTCTTCTGTATCCTGAGCACCGTCACAGTCACACGGTCATTAGTGCTCGTCAAAACTCAGGAGAGCCTTTCACCAAAATAAGGAAATTCTCCCACATGTAAATTACAGTTAAAAAAACAAACAAACAAACCCTACAGTGCTTTCTTCAATGATAAAATAAGTGATAAACAATGTAAAACAAAGTCTGTCAGATCAGCTGCCAAACATCAAGCACAGAAATAATCCAGCTGATCAACTACTGAAAAGCAACCTAAATTGCTCTGTCGTTCTTTCACGCCATCATGGGAGCCTTTCTCGGGAGCCCTAAAAGGCAGTGACTTTGATTTAGAGGCAAATCGGCAAAACTTTCGCCAGCAGACAAAGGAACCAGGAGCCCAGGGAGACCTGTGCTCCCGCGTGCCCTGGACACAGAGGGAGAGGTCGACGCGCTCAGAGGAGGGAGGAGGTGAGACCAGCCGCAGACGCTCTGCCTCGGGCTCCCCAGAGCCACGCAGAGCACGGCCCACCCCGGGTGGGCAGACAGACCTGCACCGCACCGGCGCCTGGCACGCACGCACGCAGGGCCAGGGCCGCTCACCTTGATGGAGTTGTCCCGCAGCCCGCTGATGATTTTCTCGTCGTCGTACTGCAGGCAGTAGACGCCTTTACTGTTCTCCGAGCGGCACTGGATCCTCTGCAAGTTGTGCCGTCCGCACCGCCAGTTAGATTCTATAGTCTGGGGAGCAAGGAGGCACCGGGTGAGTTTTGGGGAGCTGACCTCAGGTTCTGGCGCCCCGATACCCCCTCTCGGTGTACACGACGGTCTGTGGGCGGGAACCCCGCTCCTCCCGAGGAAGATGCTCGCCCCGCAAGGCTGCTCCTCACGCACCCCTGCCCTTCTGGCAACCCGCACAGGGTTTCCCGTGGGTTTGGGTCGGGTCCGAGAGAAAACGGCCTCGACAGAACACAGTTTGTTTCAAGCGTGCCATTTGCACCCGAAACATACAAACAAACAGTAGCTCACTGGGTCACCCTCTAATGCCAGTTAAAATGTTTGGCAGAAGACCCCCCCCAACAAATTCAAGCCTATACCAAGAATCTGTGTACCCATCCAAAGAACTGCCTCGCTCACTGAGGAACGACACTGAACAAACACTGCGGACCAAGTTCTACAGGACGAAAATGTACATGTTATCTGCTTTTCACCTCCCGCCAGACTGGAGGTCCTCAGGAGGACGAACACACCGTTCCACCCTGGGCTCTCATTCCCTCGGCACTCACGCAACACCTGCCGAGACGCGAGTGCCCCCCAGCCCCTGGCCGGGCGGGCCCTGGGCACGGGACCAGCGACCGGGAGCACACGGCTCGCAGGGGCACTGCTCCACTATCAGACACACGGCGTCTGGAGCTGGACACGCTCCAGACACGTTTATTTGGTTCAGTGACCCACACGCTGACCTTGGGAGGAAATTCTTACTCCTTCCCTCTTTCGAACAAGCAAGGAGTGTCACTTGCCCGAGCCCACGAAACCAGCACCCAGCTGAGCTGGAAGTCATGCCCAGCTCTCCCGGACTCTGAGTCCGTGCCTCTCCCACATAGACGCTGCGCAGCGTCTATGAAGAAGTAATGTCGCAGCTACTGAGGCAGTGAACGCGGAACCTAAGAGGACCAGCAACGGTTCCAGGTAACATGTAAGTGCCAAATGAGTGACTGCGAAGTTGGTGCCGCCGGCCTCCGGGAGACAGACGCCGGGCACAGAGCAGAAGCAGGCCTCGCCCCGGGGTGCTGGGAGCCCTGACCCCCGGGACCCCTGACCGTGGTGGGTATGTAGTGGGTATGGGGGGGTTCAGGATGGAAAGACAACAAAGTCTCTCCCCAGCGCAAGCACAGTGCAAAGTCCAGATCCCTTAGGATCAGGGCCAGAAGGACTGGTTTCACCTGAATTCAGGATGTGGTCCAGACGATTAGCTCTCAGAAGCTGATTATCTGAGAAGCTAGAAGTGCAGTCGGTTGCTTTGCCGAAGAAAGGAGGTAACTCTCACTCTCATCCATGACGAGCCCTGAGACGCTGGCCCCGCTGACACCGGACACACTGCGTCTCCTCTTCCCGTGCAGGCGGTGGCAGCAGGCACTGCCACGCTCCCGTGACACTACGCTACGCACGTCACGTGCTTCATAGCTAATTTAAGCAGCGTCACTACTCTGAAGCCAATTTACTGCCCTTACTTTACAGAAAAGGAAGTGGAAGATGGGAAACACTGACGACACACGTGCACCCAAGAAGAAAATGACCATTTGTGGCCTCAGTCCCTAGCACAGGCAGCCTCGAGAGCGGGCGGACCGCCCACTTCCTGGGCCCAGCAGGTGCGAGGAGGTGCCCCGGGGACGCAAGCAGCAAGGGAACGCTCGCCTGCCTGCCTGCCTGCTGCCGGGTCAGAGCTTCTGGGCCGGCAGCGTCTCCGACAGTGAGTTTGTCAAGCGTCAGACCTAAGAGCACACGCCCAGCCCCAGTTACCCCACCCGACCTCTGACCTCTGCAGGCGCTACCAGGGCGGGACAGCTCACTTGTGACCTGAACGCAGCGCCTGGAGCCAGAGAAACCGCACTTTCAGGGGTGACTGAGACAGCCAGCGTGCGGAGGCGCGGGGAGATGCGGACTGAGGCGGCGGGCGTGCTGGGAACAGGTCTTCTTCGTGGCCAGCGACTCTCAGCAACGGCCACCAGGGTCGGGCTGCACCTCCTGGGGCTCAGAGCTGCCGCAGGACGCCCGTCTCCACAGCAACCCAAAATAATCCCAAGGTGCACGAGTGACATGTCTGCCTGCCTGCCTGCCTGCCTGCCTGTCTCTCTCTCTCTCTCTCTCTCACACACACACACACACACACACACAGGGAAGCACACACCAGGTGTTATTTTTAAAATGTGTATAGCTGTTCTTAGTTTTAAAACATCCAAAATTATTTGTACAATATCACTGAATTGGTAAGTAGCTCTGTTATTCTATATGTCAATGAACAGAAAAGGCACATTTACCATCACATGGGAGCTTCAAAAAAAATTTTTACAGAGGGAGTCGAGGGCTCCTCGTGCCAAGAATCTCCCACGTGTTACTCCCCCCCACCCCCCACCCCCCGCATACCGTGTTCTCTAAGCCTGGGTGCCTCGGCTGCCCCTTACTGCACCCGAGGCCATGCAGCAGAGGCGCCGGGGGGAGGGGGGGTGACACGGCCAGCCCACACCTGGGCAGGCAGCACCGCCGGCGCGGCCGAGCCCTGCTCCCCGCCTCCAGCCCACACCACAGAGCCTGGCGCGGCACCTCTCAAAGCTCTGCAGGCAGCAGCCTTTCCTCCTAAGTTGAATGGGAGCTATGAGATGGCTTCGCTTCTTGGCACTTAGAACAAGCCTAATTTTCTAATACACGTATCTGAATTCTAAAAGAAGTTTGCCAAATAATCCTCGATGGGTCATTATAGGAAGTCCCACTTAGGGCTGTTTCAGAAATCATCAGGTTCCCTAGTCCCCAAACAAGTCTGGTTTGCTTCGAGTCGCCAGGAAAGCGACGCTAGCCCCGGTCAGGCAGTGGACCGCTCTGCGGCACGCCGCCCCCGTCTACCCTCCGACCCCCCTCCTCCCCTCGCAGGGCCACCCACAAAACAGAGCAGCGCTTCCTGCTGGCTGCCCGAAATGCGACGTCCCGCCTTGCTGGACGACCCCAGCGCTTACTAGAATGTTTATAAAGCCAGGTCTTTTTTAGAAAAAACTAGACCCTTAAAAACGGAAGGTGGCCCATTGTGGTAGAAAATACCGAGGTCAATTAGCAGCTCTGGCACAGGACCTGGGCTGCTGGAGCTGCAGTCTGCCCTCCGTAAAAACGGGGGGAGAAACCACACCTACCTCCCCCGAGCTGTGGTGAGGGCCAAACGGGGTTACGCAGGCAAGCGCTCGTCACAGCGCCTGCAAATGGCAGCGGCGACTCTGCTCCGCGTCCGTGCAGGACACTGGCTGAAAGGCGTGGGCTCTGACCCAAACCCCCCATCAAACTGCCAGGAGCAGCTGTCTGGATCTAGGCTGACATTGAATGCTGGGAGCCCTGCGCCCCGCCCCCAGCCCCGCCCAGGAAGGGGGCTCAGCCCTCTAAGGCGATCCAACCATTGTCCTAACTTCAGCAGCAGGGAGACAGGGCACCCACCGGCACACCTGGGCAGCGATGCAGGTCCCTGCCCTTTCTCCTGGACACCGCGCCGTGCGGCTACTGCGGGGAGCACTTCATGTTTCTGAGAACCTGTAAAATCCCCTTACCCTGTGCAAATTTTCAAAATACTGGGAAAGAGGCCACGATACACAGAGTATACAGCGGCATTTAAATTGGCAACAGAGTGGAAACAGATGTCTGAGCACGCAGGGATAACATTATTTTTAGAAGCCTAAACACAACTGGGTGGGTGGGCAAGTTTCAGCGTTCTCTGGTCGGGACGATGTTAATATCAAGCCTGCGAGCCACAAAAAAGCGCCCCCCTTTCCCCGAACGAAATGCGGTTTACGGAAAGGTGCGCCACGCCACGCCACGCCACAGTCCCACCAGCGTCCGTTCCAAGGACGGCGCTTCACGCGCAGGCTCTCCCCCGCGAGGAAGGGGAGGGAAAGGCCGGTCCCGCGGAAGGTCGCCGCCACTCCGAGCCAGCGGCAGGGACGAACCCCCGCACAGGACACCGGGCCTCGGGCAGGCTGAGAACCCCTCGGGGGCCTGGCGGAGGGGAAAGAGCACGGGCCTTCGACTGAGAACCTCGGCTTTGACAATGTGAGGACTAAATTGAATCTCTGGAGCAAAGCATCTATTAGGAAGCTCACCGTGGCTAGCCACCCTGATGACGGTGAGTAACAACAGTCGCGACTCCAGCTGGTGAAGGAAACAGAGCGGCGTCTTTAGGGACGGGCCTCAGGTTTCCCAGGAACGCCTTCTCCCTCCAGAGGCCCCCGGCCCCTCCCCGCACCCTCTGTGGCGAGAACACCCCGAGAGAGAAACCTTTGCTCTCAGAAAGCTAAGAATTCTTCTTTACTCTCCCCAGGCTTCACTTCCCACATCCTTCTTTGCTGGATCGTAGGGGCTGGCCCACTGAGCCAGGTTCTCAATGTTTTCCTGAAAAATTAGCCAGTTTCTGGTGGGTCAACATGGAAGGGCACGGGCAAGGTCATGTCCTCGAGAAAACCAAACCTGGAAATAGCTGGAGGACAGAAGCCAGCACAAAAACTAGCGCTGTCAAGGACGAGCAGGAGGAGAAAAGGAAAACAGGCTGGCAGCCTTGCAGAGCACACGGGGGAAAAGAGACACTGCGACTGTGGGCGGGCAACGGGGGAGGGGCCCCAAGCCCACTCGACATCCAGGGCGCAGTGCAGCTTTCAGCGTGTGCTTCAGTAACGTCCTTCAGAGAGCACCACCCGTCCCGTAACCAGGCTAAAGCGAGACCAACCAACCCTATTTCAACGCATGCCCTTTTTACAACAACAGCCAAGGACACTGAGCACGCTCGCGCCTGGAGAAAGAGGGCTTCGCCTTGAATCTGTAGGTATATACAATACGCACCTTTCTCCTTCACTTCTTGAATTTTACAGTTTGAAAATGACAATACTGAGCCCTCAGCTGGCCAGACCCCAGTTAAAATCCCATCTTTCCTACAAAACTATGTAGCAAGTTCTAAAACTCTCTTAGTCTAGGTTTTGTTTTATTACAGAAGGGGATCTGTACCTTGTAGGAATTAAATGCAATCATCTTGTTACAAGTATAATAGTTACAAGTACCTCGCATTGAGCGTACTTGTAACTATTATATTCTGCTTGTGGGGGTTTCGGATCTGCCACATGGACAAGAGCCAAGCCCCTGAGTCTCTCACTGGTTTAATTCCTGAATCATTGAGGAAACTCTCTACCTGGGTGTCCACCCTAAACAGAATTAAACAGCCTCCCCAAACAGAGGGAAAGAGCAGAGGCACCAAGTGCAGAGGAGTGTAAGGGGGACCACAGACTCTGTTACTCACTGGCTGCAGGATCTTGGGAAAGCCACTGAACCCCGTGGGGCCTCAGCGGCCTCAGCTTCAGTAAGGACATGGCCCACCTCTCAGGGACTGTCCGGAGTGTTAAGTGAGAAAATGCGCCATAAAGTGCTTAAGAAAGTATCTAGCACAAGTAAACACTCTGTACACGGTCCGTTATTATTATTATTATCACTATTATCTAATAGACCCAAGCATAAAACAGCACCCCTTACTCTAAGAGACCCAGCCCACAAAAATCTGGAGGGGACCCTCGTGGCCGACCGCGGGTTTTGCAAACCGCACCTCAAGAACCACCGGGCGGACCACCGGGGTGCGGAGGGTTTGGGTCCAACAGGGCTCCCCCCACGGCTCTGTTCTCCCTCACTCTGCCCCCGCTGCCGACTGGGAAGTGTCACTCCAGCCTGAGGGAGCAGGTGCGGGAGCTGGTGTCACGCCGCACCCCAGCCCAGAAGACTAAGTTCACACTGTCTATCAGGGTAGCACTCACAGGCGTCAAAGCCGGCCGTGTCACCAAACTGTCAACCCGACAAAGTTCTTCCAACATTTCTGCTGATTGACGACTGGCTCTAAACATCATCCCTCTCACGATGAAGGTTTACTACATTATTCGAGGAGACTCAGAGCTGCTCCGTGAAGGATGACGGGGAGGGCAGAAGGTCTCCAGGACGTGGGGAGAGGCAGTGTCCCAGCGTGCCTCGCGGCTGGGGTCTCGAGCCCCTCTGCCCCACACACGCACCAGCCTGAGGTTCGCACCGACACTCTGTCTGTGAGCTACCGGCGCTGCAGGAGCAGCTGGTTCTAAGCGTCGCCAATGGATCAATTAATTCCCACACTTTACGACGTGTCCAGCAGCAGTTTGAAATTATTTAAGCCTCCCTAAAAGGTTACTTTAGTAGCTCATTTTGGGGAGCCGGATACTTAAGACAAGGGTTTGTGCTTTAAATAACGATATGCCAGTCGCAGGCAGATTGACTGGTAACCAAACGACTCCATTAGTTCACATCTGCCTCAGAAAGCGGGGGGGGGGACACTCCCCAGAAAGCACATGTTTCTCCATTAATGAATTCTGGCACCGTAACTTTTCCGTCTATCACCTGGGGGAGAGGATTACTCCACGTGTGGGAAGCCGAGCACAACTTTACGGGTGAGACAGCGCCGCCCAGGGAAGGCCCCGCGTCCCTGCCAAGGAGGAAACAGCGAAGCAACCGGGGCCGCCAGGAACACGTGCGAGAGAGTTAACGGGAAATGCCTGTGCGTGTCTTGCCCTGTGCACGGGAGAGGGCCGAACCGTAAAACGGCACCAATTAGAACACACGAGCGGCATCAAATGCCTCCGATGGTCCTCGTCAGGTTTACAGGGTTTTACGGGCCTGGTGCGGTTCCCCTCACGTCCACAGTGGTCCGGCAGCAGAGCGTGCTCCATAAAACCCGCGTAATTATTGCTTACAATCACATTTGAGTCGCTTTTATGAAAAAATATGGGAAATTTACAGAGGAAGCTGAGACCATGCCTTCTCTAGTCGTTCGTTAGACACGGCTCAAAAATATGAAACTGTTTGCCTGGAACGCTGGGCCTTGGACTTTGGAAATTTGATCGGATTAGAAGGGAAAGTTGGTTTTGGATCAAGGCTTTCATTACGGCAGCCCTGCAGAAGCACTTCACGATTGAGAAAAGTTAGGTCACTTTTTACAAAAAGACGTGACGTGTTCTGAAGAACTTCAGTCACCGATTGTGACATATTTGCTCCAAGAGTTCAACTTGGGGAAAAAAATTACTTGTTCCATGATTTCAGATGAACAGAACGCCACGGCCACATAAGAAGCTGAGAACGAGACACAAAGAGCCCATTAAAAAAGATAAGCCATAAACTCACCTCTATATCCTGGATGATCTTTGGGTATAACGACCTATAAAATGAATTGGGAGGGCCATCCGTAGGTCTGTTTTTAAACAGGTACTGATCCCTGGCAAATAAAAACAGAGAGACGTCAGGTGTCTGCACATGAAAGGGTGCATTCTGCGTAAGCAGGGTGCTCCCGGAGAAACCGTGTCACCCCAATCTTCAGACGTGCACCGAGCGCGCTCGCACGGAACAGGTGAAAGCAGGACGCCTGGGCCCGAGCACGTGCGACACCAGGTTGCTCAGGGCCGGACTCTCTGACACGGTCCCGTCCGTCCTCTCTCTCTCTCCGAATGCTCGGCGCACAGTCACCCGCCTTCCTTCTGCAGTCTGACAGAGCGCGCTACCGTGGCTCTGGGGAGACCCGGACTCAGGCCGCCAAACCCCCTCCTCCGAGAACACAGCCCGCCCTCGCGCGCACCGCTGCCGCCGGGCTCCCGCCTGTGGCTCCTCCTCCTCGCCGGCTGGGCCGGGTGGCTGACGGGCACACAGCCACAGAGCCGTGTTTATGTTTGTGGGCTTTCTCTTAAAACGAACGAACAAACAAACAAAAACGGCAAGCTGCCTGCCGTGCCACCCATTGCCTGCAGCCAGCAACAACCAGGACACCCGGCGGCAGCGAAGCGGCGCTGTCCGATTCCCTCCGTCTCCTTTCCTTACCTCTCTCTCGGTAATGCTAGTACCACTTAAGGGAAATGTGAAAGAAAAAGCATGAACGCACAGCTTTGAAAAGCCAAACCACTCAAACGATGCAATACTTCCTAGCATTTAATAAACAGAAAGAAACATACACCTCAGAAGGAAACATTCTTCCAGCTTTAACTCCACCCTCCCCCAAACCCCTTTTCCGCTCATTTAAAACAGGACAACTCATCTGGCAAGCGTGACGGCCTTCCTGAGTCGTCAGACGGACCCCAGGGCAGAGACACTTGGCGACCCGGGGAGCACGCGGGCCCGGTACTCACCACCCTCGTCTTTCCGAAAGCCCCTTCCACAGGGGGTCCGTGCGCACCATCCGCTCGATGAGCTTCTTCCACAGCATCCCCTCGGAGATCACACGCTGCCATTCCTTGCACACCAGCTCCGCCGCACACAGAGACCTGGCGTCCAGGTAGGAAAGAATGTTCTCCGCTATGTGATCTAAGCCTTGCTCTGCAAAACAGAAAAGGCGGTGACGGGATGGGAAGGGACACGGCGGCACCAGTTGCCCTTCCTGAGTGACACAGGTCGCTCTGCAGACGCTCGTGTGCCCGCCAACACACCCACTTCTTTTTGGCTGTGACTTTTTTTCAGATAAGCAACTCACAGCGGCAGTACCTGGCGTAAGAGCTGATCCCGGACAATTCTGTCTGTCTGTCTGTCAGCTATTGCACTACAGTACTTTTACGTGACCTGGACTTCTGAACCACTATGGGACACTGACTCCCCGAGTTTACAGATGGGGCCCAGAGAAGTCTGGCAGCACACTGAGCCACAGAGCAGCAGGGCCAAGACTGGGCCTCTGGTCTCCTCCTCCCAAGTTTGGGTCTGTCCTCCGTGACCCACCGTCTCTTGTAACAGCCTGTCCTGCTCCTCCACAATCTGTGTGAATCCCGGAGGCTACGGAGACAAACAAGTAAAATGCTGACACCTTTAAAGCTCAGAGTCAGGTGCACTTTACATACATCTTTGTCACTAATTTCTTCATCTCCTTCTTGTGGAGGTAAGGTTCTCAAAAGCAAGAGCCACGTGTCTACAAATTCTAGAACCTTAAGAGTTTTATCCCATATGATGCCAGGGTCCCCTGAAGGGCAGCCGAGAGTCGGCCTCTGCCGGCTAGCCACGGCGCACGCTCACGCGGCCAGCCCCGGGCTCTGCGGCTCCGAGGGCTAAAGCTCGTCCCCGGTCCCTGCTGTGTGGCGGTGGGAACACTGAGCCTCCAGGCAGGAAGGTCCAATTTCAAGTCTAGGCTCAACACGCAGCAGTTTCCCGACCTGAGACGCCTGCCCCTCGCTCCTTCCACCGTGCACCAGGGTCATTCAGCAGTGACCACTGTCCCTCCCTCCGTCTGTGCAGGTCAGATGACACCGCACCAAACAAGCTCAACCTCTGCTCGCTCCTCCGAGAGGAGCAGCCGCAGCACAGCGGCTCGGACTTGGCAGGGAGCACTGCGGGGGCAGAACCTTCCAGAGCCCCGCCCCGCTCATCTGCACGCAGTGGGGCAGCACCTCTGCCCTCGGTGAACATACCAAACAAGACGATGCACGAAGACGCCTTCAAACCAAGGTCCCCCCCGGCTCCGCCATGACCGCGCACACCGCTGACTGCGGCACACAGGCTCTCTCCCCGCACTGGCCCTCCCCTCCGGGCTGCCCCGACACTTGGGCTCTGACGCAGCGGCCCTCACGCTCCGGCTCTGACCCGGCGGTGAGACCGCGGCGGGACCGCCGTCTCCGCTCGCACACATCGTCACACGGCCGTTAACGCGGCCCGAGGCCGCACTGCCTCCATCTGACCACAGCAGACCCCCAGGACGCAGTAAGTCAGGATCTCCCCTCCGAAACACCCATGAAAACAGTCCCCCAGGCCCGCGCTGGGTGGTTAGCTGAGGAGGTGGGGGTCAGCTCCGTGCAGGGGCGGGTGGCTCTCCTTCCTCTAACTCCCGTGTCCGACAGCGCCACACCAGGCCTGCCCAATGGGCGAGTGTAGGAAGTCTTCACCCCCAGTTTGTGGGCAAACGCTCCGTGGGTCAGAACCAAGGACAGCACCCACGGCGCCAGGTACTTCCCCCCAGGACACTCCCGGACCCAACCCTGACGCACTCGCAGGGGACCCACAGAGACCCGGGTCTGTGACCCTCCCGCTGCACCACCGTCCGTCTCTCTGTTCAGTCTCAGGGCCGTCTGGAGAAACCCTGTCTCCCGAAGACACTACCCCACCTCTCTGCAGTGCCAGTGCGGCCGTGTGGTGACGCTGCCCTTAAGAAGGAAGCGCGGTGAACGCGGCACGGAGGTCACTGCGTGCGCTCCCTTGTCGGGCTCACCCGACGGGCGGGCGGCACTCTTCTCTTCACACGTTGGCACTGGCCGCTGTGTGTCCCTTTTGAACGCACGTAGCCCGTGCTCACTGCAGAAACAGGAGGCGGTGCAGGATGCACAGAGGCGTTTAAACCCCCAAACCCCAGCTCTCAGAGATAACAGCTCTGACCGTTCTGGGACACCCCTCCAGGCGACATAAACCTACACTCTCAGATGCTGATTAACTTCTAATAATCCATTCAAGACTTCTGCTGGAGTGTAAGGTTGAGTTTACCCACCAACACCCCCCACACCTCCTCCAGCTGTTCTAACCAGGCACCCCGCTCACCGGCCAGCCGTCTCAGGGCGCGGGCACGCATGGCCACCAGACGCGGCCCACAGCTGTGAGGGCACGGTCGGGCAGGCCGCGCCGCCCGGTCCCGACGCCCTCCGGTCTGAAAAGCGCACTGCAGGCGCTGGCGCTGTCCTGACTAGCGCTGCCCCTCGCGCTACTTGCTTACAGGGGCCAGGCGTCTCCTAGACACCTTCAGAGCTTTCTCGGACTGGTGTTTCTCTCCTTCCTGGGGTTAACACCACTCTTCTTAGTGGGAAGGAGCGAAAGGTAAGGGAAAGGGGAGTGAGAATCTGCCACCTCCGGCCGCGATCACCGCACACTCTGTCCCACAGGCACCGTCCCTTCGTTCTTCGCGCCGCTGCCCCCAGTATGACTTTGTGTGTGTGTTTCCCGCTCTCCCAGATTACGCAACCACTTCGGGCAATTTTACATTATTCACGGTCTTGCCTTCTTGGCACGTTCTCAAAGGCTCGGGCTACCTTTTCGTGTGTCTCCATGATTACATGCCGCTTCCCTCCACCTTCCCAACCGTGTGTGTCTCTAGCCAGGGAGAGCCGTGGGCAGTCAATCACACGGGCTTCTCCCTGCGCCTCTCCGTTTCTGAGGCCGGCCCACTACTGGTCAGAAAGGCGGATTTCAGAATCTCTCGGCCTGCGTTAGTCACGTTTCAGAACCCTGCCCATGGGCTGGCAAACGTGGTTCTTCTCTGAGCCCTCCTCCTGCCAGAGTCCCACACTTGATGTTAGAACACAGCCACTTCCCGAGGTCTTTATTACTTCCCTGCCAACAACCGGTCCCCGCTGAGCCGCCTGCTCTCGGAGAGAGGAAGCGCACAGCAAGGCCGGCACGCGTCCCATTCTGCCTGCCCGGCCGGAAGGGCTGCAACATCCCCACCGCCTGCACAGCACCCACACCTCCCGCCTGGCAGGGCGCTCTGTGCGCGGGTGCTCAGAAGCCTGTACACTGTGGATGAATCACACAGGGTCAGTGATTTTAAAACCCAGCGAGAAGGACGGCAGCAAAAACGGAGTCCCCGGACATCCCCCGATCCTCTCCTGAGTGGCATCTTCAGGCGGAGGCCAGGACTCTGTGGCGGAGAAGCGCCAGCAGGCGCGCCTGGTACCCGGGGAGCCGCTGCTCCGCAGCACCGACACCCTCGGGTCCGCCGCGGTCCGCCTCCTCCGCGGGGAGCTCACCGCAGGGCTCTCGGAGAGTGTCTGTGCTCTGCACGGGGAGACCCCTCCCGACCGCGCACCCCTCCTCTCTCCGATGCCGTCGCTCCGGGGCAGCCGCGTGCCAGTGATCCCGGGAGACCCACTTCCTTCGGACGACACTTCAGATTCACTCCGGCCTTCGGGGGGCAGCCTGTTTTCGTCTCCTGGAAAGTGCGCTGGCTGCAGGCTCAGAGACAACCCGGGCCGAGACAGGTCAGCTCTCCCGCTCGGACCTCCGTCTCCCCCGAAACAGACGTGGCGGTGAATGCGCACCGAGGCGCAGCGTGGAATGCTCCTACACTCTGCCCGCTCGCCCGGAGAGGGGCGCTCGCTCTCCACGGCCTCGGGCGAGGGAAGGAACTCCCTGAGCTGGGCGGGGAGGCTGGCGGAGGAGGTCCCCAGGGAGCCGGACACACACCGGGTCCTCCGGTGAGCGTCCGCCGCTCGCCCTCCCCTCGGTCCCGAGTCCCCTAAGGCCCGCGCTGCGGATGGAGGAGGCCAGGCAAGCCCTGTTCCCTGCCCTTCCTTGTTATTTCCTGAGAGAAAACATCGCGTGCCTCCTCCAGCAAGGCGCTAAGCCCCCTCTAACATCTGGGTCGCACGCGTCAGACGCCCCTGAGCGCCTGAAGACCAGCACTCGCACGAACCCTGCCCGAGGCCCACTTGCGGCTGCGCCCAGAGGCGCTGCAGGCCTCGAGGTGCTCCGTGTCAAGCCCGTCGGGGTGAAGAGGTTGCGGAGCGAGGCGGTCCGTCCGCCTGGGCTCAAACGTGCTCGGAGGTGTTCGCGCGGAGCACCCTGCTGAGCACCGGGCCCCGGCTCTCACTTGCTCCGTCACACGGAGACCCCCGTCTCCCACCACCGCCCCCCACCCCGCCCCAGGCAACAGGAGGACGCCCTGCACCGTGGCCTCGGAAAGCAAGGCAGAACCCTGCACCCCCAGTGCCGAAGAGGGGCCGCTGCAGCTAATTACAGGCACCAGATGAAGGTCTGGAAACATTTCAACAATGAATTAAAACAATTAAAAGGCACGAATTTCAAAGCTCAATATGTAAATAACACTGTATCAAAATGAAACTCAAATGTGTAATGTCAGCTCGATGCCCTTGACTACAGCCAACTCTAACACAGCTGCTCGGCTCACACAATCACAGCGGCTCTGTGTCGGAGCCGCGTTTCAGCGAGCAGCTGCGGAGAAGCTTCCTCCCCACTCCCCATCCCCGCGGTCCCTGCCCCCTCCCCCTCCCCAGTCGCACAGCTCTGTGCAGTTGTCAAATCTGAAGCGAGAAGCCCAAACAAAACAAAAGGCAGTTGCTGACAGCAGTCCGTCAAGGCAGGCCTTGAACTTGGCACATACTGGCCTCGGGAACAAGAGAGAAATGAAGTGACACGATGCCCGGGTCACAAGGTCCAACATTTTGTTGTGCCAACCAAGTGCCGCACACACCTACCTCTATGATGTCAGGATGAATCAATTCGGAAATTAGCGGGTGAATAATAAAAACTTCCTGGCAATAAATCTTATTACCTCTGGAGAAGCAGGTGTTTCCTGTCTCTCTGGGCTTTTTTTCCCCCAGCTGCCATCCTCAGAATACCCACCAGATGCCAGGCACACTACATACACTCTTTAATCTCCACAGTATCCCTCGAAGCATTATTATTATTATTATTATTATTATTATTATTATTATTATTCCCCCAAAGACAAGGAAATGGGGGTCTGAAAAGTGGGCTCACTGACCTACTCCGTGCAGGGAGGGGCTGGGGCTCACGTCGAGGGGCTGTCTAAACCCAGCGGGCACCCTCGCGGGCTGGGCTGTGCCGGGTCTCAGCCCCACCTCCAGCCTCAGCCTCAAGCCTCAGCCTTCCTCTGGTTCTCCCGCACGCCCGAGACCTCTGACCGAGTCCCTGTCACAGCTCCAGTCCATGATGATTTATCACCCTTACTCGGGATCTAACAAATGAGTGAACCACAGCCAAGAAGTGCAACGGTTCAAAATCCTTAATTGCTTGGACACCCCACCAAGTGGCTCATCAACGCTTACCGTCCTTTTTAAAGTACGGTCCGCCTCTACTTCAAATGGCATAAATTTCCCCTTTAACAACCGTTCTTACAAACCACAAACTCAGCCTGCAGAAATTGACATTGCAGACTAAACATTTACCATGATTTTTAGAAAACCGTATCATAATTATCACTTTCTCCACTGGACCAAAAGGAGCCAGAGACCACAAACATTTTTCCACTCTCCCAACACTGACAGGTATGCCATGCACCGCGAGCATCAAAGAGGCAAAGCTGTGGACCATTTTTACAGAATGCATGGCTTTTACAACCAAAAGGGGTCTTGAGCTGGTGTCCACTTCAGCAGAGTGAGACTTCAAACTCAAGGTCATCTACCGTGGAAGTTAGACGCCGCAGCAGAACAGTGGCTGGGGAGCCGCCCCGCACGTGGTCACGTCCACGTGTGACATGCACGTGGACCTGTCTCCCCCCCGGCGCTGCTGCATTCGAGCCTGTGCTAAGGAACTAACGCCAGGTTCAATGCAAGTCTACCAGATACTAACGAACACAATCAACTTGGCCGGCTTGTCCCCAGCTATTAGAGTCCCCTGTATGATATACACCGACATATGTATATATGTTCAGATCAGATCCTGTTAAAACAAATAGCATTTTAACAAAAACATTCCCATGTCCCAGCCAATGGTCCATTCCTTTCATGTAACACTTAATACCCCAGAATTCCACTTTAACAGAGATATGGACAGTACCTTTAAATTCGCCATAATGAAAACGGGGTTGTATGCGATTACACTAACCGTATTTATACACATAACACATGTTCATCTGTTCTCTCTCCTCCGAGACTGCACTCTCCCCAGGAAAGGGGGGCTGCCTCTGAACTATACTCTACGAACCAAGAGAACAACAGTGCCACCTCGTGGATATTCTGTAAACTTCAGGTGAGTTCCCCAGCACTGAAATATTTGAGAAGCAAAATACAGGGGAAAAGAAAGTAAGACCCAACCAGTGGAAAGCAAGCAACAACAATCGATGAACAGATCTGCATAAGAAAAAAGGAGGCACAGCTCCGTTTAGCTATACGCACTCACGAAGAACAAGCCCGCCCACCAATGTTAAAAGCTACCCTGACTTTTCTCGACGAGATGCAGCCGAAGTCGGAGGGACAGCCTGGACGACGGTGGCTCTGGATTCTGGCACTGCACCCACAGAGGACCTGTGTCCCCAGTGTGCTCACCTGACGTGACTCCACCTCTGGCTCTGCAAGCCCCTCCCCTCACAGTCACAAACCAACGCTGCTCAACTGTGCCGCAAACCACGCATCAGTGCTCCAGGCCCACGTGAGGACTCTCCCCGAGTCGTCTCACCTGCCAGCGACTTCCACCTTCGCGCTGATTTTGGAACCAACCTGCAGAGGCACCACAACGCCCCAGACGGAAGACTGTGGGCACGTCACCCACGTTCTCTGACCCTTGGCTCCCTGGGCTGCACGACGACGCGGGAGAGGACCAGGCGACGGCTAAGACTCTCTGTGGCTGTGAAATACTACGACTCTTGGGAGAGAGGGCGATCCCTGGTTCTTGAAAGAGAGGGGTCGTACTTTGCTCTCCTAGAAACACTAATGAATGAAACAGGGCACCCAGCACTGCATTTCCGCACAAAAACGACCACCGAGTCTGAACGCTCCAGGCTACCTCTCCACACCCTTGAACACTGCCCTCGTCCAAAGTCAACCTGTAGGCACGGGGGTGGGACCGGAAGTCAGGGGACCTGGCCCAGGCCCTGTCTGCGGTGGCAGTGCCTGGAGCACCGAGCGGGCTGCGCCGTGGCCCCAGAGAGGCCGAGGGAGGAGCTGCCCACCGAGCAGCCGCTCAGGAGCTCCGGCGGGGGCGGGAGTGGCGGCGAGGGCCCGGTGCTGCCCTGGCCGTCCCGGGGCCGAGCCTGGCACGGCCGTCGTAAGCTCCAGGCCACACTGGCCCTGGCAGAGGACCCCGCTCTGCCAGCCTTCTCCTTGGGAATGAAGTCCTTCTAGCTCACCTGACCAGATGTAAATCAAAAACTTTAAAAAAAGAAAGAAAACCAAAAGATGACAGAAAGAGATGGAAACAGGACAAAAGAGGAAAGAACGAATGATCAGCCGTCAGAGGGGTGAACAGGCAGCGCCCGGGACCCTCGCAGCCGGGAGGCCCTCTGCGGGACGCTGCACGGGCACACCCGTGTCACTGCGCACCTGCCAAGCCCGCCCGGTCAGGCCCCCGGGTGAACCCCGAGGCCAGCACGGACCGTGGGTGACGGCGCGCCAGTGCAGGTGCGCGTGTGGGAGCGAGCGCGCCACGAGGGTACTGGACGCCGACAGCGGGAAAGGCGCAGGGTGACGACGTGCGGACTCTCTGTGCCTGGAGGTGCTCCATAAGGCAGCCCGCTTAGACATCACTCCAAGTACAGTTACCCAGAGGCCTAAGGGCAGGGCGCATGCGCACCGGGAGGCGCGGCACCGCGGAAGGATGCGGACGTGGTTCTGGAATGAGGACACGCTGTCCGTTCGCCGGCAGGTGTCCGCCATCCCCGTGGGTCACTTCAGACACGAGTGACCACCCGAAACTGCCCAAGCACAAGGAGTAGAGGGAAAATGCTTCCATATTTTTAAAAAGTTAGTTACAAAGGCAAAAGGCAGATTGCACATAGACTACCTGAAAAACCAGGCTGGCAATCATCATCAAACAGGTTAAACACGGAGCACTGACCGAAGGCCCACGCCCTCAATCGGAGGAACCCCTCCAATTTCCCAGACAGACGCCTGGTCGGGGCTGGTCGGTCCCCCAGTGCCGCTGTTCAAACACCGTGGGGGTCCCCGAGGGCCACCCGGCTCGGTCCCCGCTCCCTCCGCCCACAGATGCCTCGCCAGCGCCGCCCAGGCCCTGGGGCGGGCCGCGCCGAGGTACCTGGTAAGGCGGTGATGAAGTCCCGCTGCAACATGGGCTTCAGGTAGGAGTTGATGTGTCCATGCTGGTAGTGGCACATCCGGGAAATGAGGTGCTCCACGAACTCCACTTGATCGGACTCGGACCACTGGTCGAAGTACTTAATGCACAAGTCCTTTTCTTTTTGGTAGTTTCCTTCCGACGGCCTCTTTCTGGAGACGATCACAGAGGATGTTCCATTACTTATCTATTTCAGAAAAACAAGAAACTAATTAGTCCGACAAGCAGAAAAAGCTAATGTGGCATTTCATCAGAAACATTTTTCGCTCTGTGTATTTAATCTTAAAATGCCAGTTTTACCCTAAAGCCACTCATTCCTTTATTAATTCACTCAAGAAGTAATTAAAAAGGTTTCCAGAGCTCATGTCCTCAAATTAGCCTCAAAAGTGAATGCCGAGTCACAGCTCTTTCCGAAGCTCAGTGACATCTGAGGCCATCACTGTCCGGTGCGCGTCCCCAAACCACGCTGCCCTCAGACGCCTGAAGTTGGGGATGGCCATCTCCGAAAAACGGGTGGCTTTACCTCCTCACAGCTGAAAGCTCATGCTTCGCCTGCGCCAGTGGTTCTCCCGCGTCAGGACGACAAAGGGCTTCTGAGCACACCGACAGGTGGGCCCCACCAGAGACGCCCTGACTCTACTGGTCTGGAGTGGCGTCCGAGAACCCTCACGGCCAACGAGTTCCCACCGATGCTGAGGCTGCGGACCGCACTTTGAAAACCACTGTCTCCCAAACGGAGAAACCTGAAGGCAACTGCATCTAGAAGGCCTAATTTTACCCAACAACTCTTATTTCCGCCTTGTTTCCAGGGCTGCAGACTGCTGGCAGAACGCCGAAGCCTTGCAACCCGACTCGGGAGGTGGCTCACGCCACACCGCGGATGTCTGTCCGGCGGCCCCTTCGTCTCACACGGGAGGGAGGTTTGCGCACGCCCCGCTCCTGTGCCAACTGCATCTCGCGTCACATCTGCGTGCCCCTCGTATAAAACCGGTGTGTCTTTTAAAACACCGAAACTACATTCGCTGCATCTGAACAGTAGCACCAACAAGAATAAATCTGCGTCCCCAGACCGAAACCACCACTGGCACCGATGCCACGAGGCTCGGCAGCTCCCCCGTTAGGAACGAAGGCGCCGGGATGCTCCCACCCGACACCGGTCCCGCCACGGGGCCGCGCTCTCCGACGGCCCGCTCCCCACACGCGCCACACCAGAAGCCGCGACGGGCCGGGGAGCTCTGAACGCTGCAGGGCTGCAGTACAAACACACGCAGTTCCCCGAGGAGCTCCCCTCGGAAGGCTCACACAGAGGAAACCAAGAGGTCCCGTCGTCAGTTCGTCCCCTGCCTGAGCGTGGGCTGCCCCAGGTCCATTCACAAAGAGGACATCCTTGGTCAGTGCCTCCCTCGGCCAACTCGTGTCAGCCTTTCCTGCGGGGGGGAGTTCTGCTGTCCACACGGAGGGGCAGAAAGTCAGGGCTTTCGCCTCCCGCCCCTTCTGTCTCGCCGCGAATCACCGCCTCATCCAGGGATGTTTTCGCCCTGGGAAGATGGGAGGGACGGAGAGCCGGCCCACGGGCCCCGGGTACCACCAGAGGGCAGCACCGGACAGAAGTTTTTAATGTTTACTCAGACCTCAAAAAGTCAACATTCCAAACCAGTCAGAGTGAGTGAAAATTCTTCGCTGTGGTATCGACTGGGATAAAGAGCATCTTTGCTACTTTTAAGCATAAGATCATTCATCATAATGTTTACAGTAGAGAAAAACTAGAAATAACCGACCAATTACAGGCAACTGGTTAAAGCAAATTATGACACATCAACACAGCACTACAATGCAGCCACTGAAATCAGGTGTGTGGGAACACGACGCAGTAACGGGAGAACACGTGCCTGAAGTGGCGTGAAGGAGCACAAGGTGAGGCCAGGGCTCTGCGCGGCCCGCCCACGACGGTCTGCGGAGGGGGCGCCCACGTCGGGAGTGCTCGTCCCGAGAAAGAAACCTGTGCGTGCTTTCCCTCCCCTCTGCTCACTACGTTTCCTCATCACTAACTTGCCAAAATGCCATATAACTGTTTTCATAGCAGGTTAAATGGAATGATGCAGTAACAAAGTACATTTGCGTCCTGCGTTATATCTAATCCGCACAATACTTCGGTGGCCGCTGTCTCATTTGATGAGCAAGGGGCTCCTAAGCGTCCCCCCTCCCCGGAGCTGCGGTGCGTCATTAACCAGCTGACTGAGGGGCAGGTGGAAGAGACACTGAAAGCCGGAGTGTTGAAATCAAGAACCACTGTGACCTGCAAAAATCAACGGTAAACGAAGAGAACCTGCAGCGAATACCGAACGGGACGGAGGGAACGGAGGGCGGTCTGCACACAGACCCCGAGAACCAGCGGCAAAGGCCGGATTCTAAGGCACACCTCCGCTCCTCCTTCTAACCACACCCCCCGCCCAGAAAGACATTCCTGGCACTGGTTTGCTTTGTTTCTTTTTTATTTTTTAATACTCATTTTTAGAGAGAGGGTAAAGAAGAAGAAAGAGGGGGAGAGAAACACCAGTGCGTGGTTGCCTCTTGCACTCCCCCGACTGGGGACCTGGCCTGCAACCCAGCATGTGCCCTGACCAGGAATTGAACCAGTGACCCCTTGGTTCGCAGGCCTGTGCTCAGTCCACTGAGCCACACCAGCCAGGCCAAGCTTTGTTTCTTTTCATCTTAAATTTGTTGGGGATACTTCATTCTTGCTAACTAACCTACCCTTTTGCTTCAAATCAAACCTGGAGAATTTCACCAGTATTCTCTTCAGACTCAGATGGGCTCTACCTTTGAGTCCTCAGGAAGGGGAAAATGACTTACACCACAATGACAGACGAAAACACTGGAGCACGAAACTTTGCATGCTCGTCCCCCGCCCCACAAAAACCTGGGGGACGGCGGGGGGGGGGGGGCGGCAAGCCCCGAGAGAGCCAGGAGAGCAGCAAGCAGAGTTGGAGAGGGCACAGCCACAGGAAAGGGGGAAGAAGGTGGGGACAGGGAGCAAGACTCATGGATGCACAGGGACTGGTGTGCGGCACGACGCCATTCTGGTGACAAGGGACACCGCCATTGCCCATCCTTGGCTTAGGCAGTGGACACAGAACATTTTGGGCTACAGGCACTTCAGAGTCTTTGTGAAAATTCCAGTATCTGTACTACTCAGAGCAACACTTCCCTATGGTACCGAGGGGGGAGTCCTCAAAGTAGCTACTGCACCAAAAAAAAAAACCCCAACTGCCTGGCTCTTGTCCTGGTCGAGGTCACGGGCTGGGGAACATCGTCTCTACCGTGAGTCAACTGCTGTCTCATCTGTGCACGGTTGTTCCTACCTGCCAAAGAGTACTTTTCTTGGGGGACTCATCTTCGTTTTGATCCTCCATAACTGAAGTGTTCTAAGGGGGAAAAACAGGTTATTTGAATTGTGCCAAGTTTTGCAAACCCTAAATAACTACATCAAAACAGAACTTTGAAAACCCACACCGGAGTGTGCCGGCACACCCCCAAGAGCTCTCTGGCTCATGGCTAGCACGCGCTATCCTGGGCCACGGAGGCTGCGCTCATCCGTCATAAATCGTAGTCGGTGGTGGGACGGAAATCTCACTTCTCTGCAGGTCGGGCTGACTGAGAAAACGGGCCGGACTAGGTGCTGGGGCTGAAGTTCCACCTCAGCCATCACTGCTCCTCTCTCCCCTGTGGCAGGGGCCCCAGAGAGCAGCCAGCCCCCGACGGCTGCGCAGCACTCTCGCTAGCACGCCTGCGGCTCCATGGTCCCCCCGGCCGGCCACCCCTCCGCAGGCAGAGCTGACAAAGTCCTGGAGGGCACCCCGCCCCCCCCCAAACCCTTCCCTCTCTCCTCTGATGGCCCCGTTTTTCTGGACTGCCTTCGCGATGGCCCCTGGCAGGCGTGGTAGGCGCCCCAAACTTGTCCCTGGAGGGGAGGGTGCTATTGGCCAGCGACAATCGGGCCTGCCTTAGGAATGCAGGAGCGTTCGAGTTTGTGTTTACCGCACAAAGAGGCACTGTGCAATTATTCTTCCTGGCGACCTAGTCGTTCAATAGATGCCCATTAGCTGGAGATTACACATGATTGGATTTCCCCTTCTGAAGCTCCTGTCTAGTAACTAAATGGAAGCTTAATGAGAAGGGGAAGTCGAAAAGTGGTGCCCAGAACGGAGTGACAACTCGTCTATGGCCGGCAGTCCCTGTGCGATCCCTTCCCACTCCCGCAGTCAGGAGCCCGGGCCACGGCGTCTGAAGGGCAGCATCTGTGCCACAGCACTATTCCAAGGACCCCGCAGACCCCCCTGTTTACGTCACCAGCATTGACAGGACCCTGTTCTGCCTGCTGGGGTGCAGCCCACCCCCCAGCCTCCCCCCATTTTCCCTCTATGTTCTTCGGGCTGTAACGTGCCGGGACCCACACGGCACCCCCACACCACGGTCGGGGACTGCCCAGCGCGGGTGACGGCAGAGGAACGGCCCGAGCGCGGGCGCTCTGCTGTGCTGGCACCGATGAGGAGCGGAGCGGGCGTGGTGGACAGGGAAGGCCGAGGCTTTGGAAACCAGAGAGAAGGCGGGACCCCGACCTGGTCACTCACTCAGTGTGTGTGTGTGGGGGGGGGGGGGTCCTGAGCAAGCTGTGCTGGGCACGGGCAGATACAGGCCGCACAGAGCCGTTGTGGGGCCCGAGAACGCACAGCGCTCATGCCCTGCTTCGAAGACGCTCCTCCCCCCCCACCCACCGTGGCCCCTTCTCACACCGCTCTAACCCCAGACTCGGAGGGAATGGCTCCAGATGGTTGTCAACAGAGAAGCCCACTGCTTCCTCAGCAAGATCTCGTAAACCCCCAGCACCAGGGCCCGCCGTGGGGGAGGGGCGGGAGAGCAGGGCTGCAGCTGGGAGAGCCAGCGATGGGCCCGTGAGGAAGGCGGCAGTGTGTCCAGGTGTCCCGGGCGGCCCGGGGCGGTGGCAGCAGCAAGGGTCCCGAGTGGGCAGGAGGGGAGAACAGGGAGACAAAGGCAGTGTTTCCCTCTAGCTGGAAGGGCCAGAGAGACTAGCAGGGCTGGCAGGTCTCATCAGGGGGATGGGTAAAGTGGGAACAGTGGTGACTCGGCACATCATCTCCTGTGTCTGGCTGGAGGGTACAACACCGTCCTTGCACGGTGTCCCGGGGTCCCGGGCTCCACGAGAGCGGCGAGAAGAAACAACGACCACGTGAAGAGCTGAGTGCGTGGAGCGGACGCGAGATGAGGGGTCCCGGCCCCCACCCCCAGGCACCCGGGCGCTGTGTGGGATGTGGTGTGTTCAGCTGAGAACTCCCGAAAGGCAGGAGCTGGACCACCGGGCCACCCCCCACCCCCACCCCCTCAGCGAGAGGGCCAAGAAGGAAGTCCCTGCAGACCACACGAGAAACCACCGTCTTCGCAGTAAAAACGCAGCTCTTCCTTCCATTCTCCCCAGCCCAGAGAAACGGTGCTCACCGACGTCGTTGCGAGGGAAACGACCCCTCTGACAAACACAGCGACTGTTTTCTTGAGGCTCGATGAAAGTGGACAAAGACACAGCACGACTGAACAAAACTGTGCTCCATGAAGCCCGCGGGGGCTGGCGGGGCCCCTGCTGCATTTTCTCAGCCTCTCGCAGCAAGCCTCCAGGAGGGGGCGCCACGGGGAAGCGCTGCTCTCACGCTACACCGGCCAGAGGACCCTTTCCAGGGAGAGCGCCAGGAGCCAGCAGAGGCGCTCAGAGAAAAAAGGGGCCCGGGGCCCGGTGAGGTTTAAGAAATGCCACTTGTGTCACCCCTCATTCCCCCTCCCCCGACAATACGCTTTATTAACTCACTAAAGGCTGTGCAAGGCTCACCATTTAAAAACCAGGGTACGGTGGCTGAGCCCAGTTTCCCCAGGTTTGCGGGGTACAGACACCCCCACTTCGCGGTAACAGCTCGGCACGCGCCGGCAAGCACTGGACTGGGGCACGAGCGGCACGGCAGAATCCCTTCCCCCTCCCACGCCGCAGGATGAGCGGGCACTTCTGGGGAACAAGGGAAACCCTGTCCGTCTCTGGCAAATGAAATATATGCCTTTTCTACCCCCATCGCCTTCCCCAAACTGCTGTATGCGGTTGTGGGAATAGAATCCCCTCACAGGGCCACCGTTTTTAGAATTACGTTGGCATTTATTCCTTAGAGGTCTAACGGACAGAGAGCCACGGGTTCAAGGGTGAGGTAAGAACAAGCCACGCGAAAAAGGAGGTGGTTTCCTCCATCCCAGCTCACAGGCGGAAGCGTGAGGTGAGCTAATCTCGGAGCTGAAATCCTCTTCAACCCTCAGCACTTCTGGGAAGGGAAAGTTCTCTGAAATACCAACCTGGCTTATTCACTTCCTATCCAACTCATCATCATCTCTTTCCTCCTACACCTCTACCAAGAAGCATCACGCGTAAATAAAAACGCAGACCTCCGTATTCTGATATCGCTGCCGAAGAAAGATACAATCTAGGAAGCAGCAGCTCGACGCGAGGCCAGATCAGCCTCCGTACTGCTGACGCCGGGACCAGACCACTGTCTGCCGGGGGGGCTGTCACACACGTCGTAGGATGCTCAGCCACATCCCCGGCGTCTGCCTGCAAGAAGCCAGAAGCATCACCCTCCCCTGCCCTAACGGTGACAACCAAAAGCGTCTCCAGATTGACAAATGTCGGGGGGGCGGTGGGGAGACTGCTCCCTTTCCTTAAGAGCCACACTCTAAGGGTGTCAGCAGCTCCTAAACCTGCCGCCTTGGGAAGACACACTAATAGCCATCCTCTCAGGGCTGGCCGTGCTTCCCCTCCGGGCTTCTCTGGCCCCGGCCAGCATGCAAGTCCTTCAGATACGGCCCAGTCCGCTCGCCCCGCGGCCGAGCAACTCACGGAGTACACAGATATCCAGATTCTGAGCTGAAGTCCTGCTGGACACGACATTCCTACCTGGGGAAACCTGACTCAGGAGTTCTTACTGGATGAAGACCCATGGGCTGGGGGATGTGGGTGAGGGCCGGTGAGCACCCCGCAGCCAGGAACAGAAGTCGGCACATGCGCGCGCCTCCAGAGAGAAAACCCGGCGCTCCCATCAGGTTCTCAGAGGCGCCCCAAATGCAGTACGACAGCAAACCGTGCCTCTGGCCGAAGAGCAGACCACAGTGGACGGAGACTAGCCGTATCTCTGGGGGTTTTTTAAGGTCCCCGGGAAATTTGTATCTGTTCTAAAATCACTGTTACGGCCAAATGACGTGGTCCACGGGGTGGCGCCACCCACAGTAAGGAATCTGCACCGATACCATGACGACAGACTCCATGCAATGCACGGTATCTAAGAACCACCCAGACCCAGTGGAGCTAGTAACGCCCACCCCTTCTCTTACCAAGTGTGCAGGAGGGGCGCCCCGGGGAAGCGCTGCTCTCAGCCGCACTGGTCAGAGGACCCTTTCCATGGGGAATTCCGGGCGGCACCAGAGACACTCAGGGAGGCAAAGGGTCCCAGGGCCTAAGGAAGTCTGACCAGGGCTGTGTACTGAGTGCTCTCCCCGCCCCTGACCGCACCCACGCCCACTCCTACGTGTAATACCCTTCATTTAGACAGCAAAGGCTCTGTAACATCTTGTGACTTAAAGATCAGGTTACGGAAGCTGAGCCTCGCTTTCCCAAGTTTGGGGGACACAGATGCCCCCATTTTACAACATCTCTTCATCGACAGCTCAGCACGGGCCAAACACTGGACTCGGGCAATAGCGTGGCAGAATTCCCTCCCTCTCCCACTCAACCAGACAAGCAAACACTTCTGGGAGACGAAGGAAACACTCACTTCTGGGAAATAAGTACAAGATATAAATACAAGGTAAGTGGTCCTATTCCCCAGCACCCTCCCCAGACTGCTCTACGCAGCGGCCCGTGGGCAGGCGGAGCAGGCTCTCGGCTGCGACCTCCCTGCCAGGGGGTGCCACCAACCAGCGCAAACTACACCTCACTTGGAAAAGTCTGCACTCGAAGAGTTACAGGAGAGGAGCAAATGTCCTCCTTTAAAAATGCCACCTATTCCCTATTTCCAGTTCCACGAAGAGAAATGCGCGCACGTGTGAGATTTCGTCCGAAAAGCGTCCTGACTCGTGAGAGAAGGCGAAGGGGAACCCCCGCGGGGCCTGGAGGACGAGGAGGCGCCCTGCCCTTTCCCCCGGTGGCTGTAATGGTTTAGATTTAAGGCAGTAAGGATGACGGCTTCGTCGCGCAAAATGCTACTGGCTAACTGTGTTGAGTCTGCAGTAGGCTTGTCCATACACTGTCTCTTAATCTTCAGAAAAAAAAAAGAAAAGTAGACATTCCAAGCCTACAGAAGACCCTGAGGATCAGAGAAGCAAG